TGGAGATGTCATTGCTTTGTCTAGAATGATCCACAGTAGTGATTAAACCTATCTATCTCAAAGGAGACAACTGTAGGCTACATTACAGGTCAGATCTGTGGAGTGGCAACCCTATACACAGAGAGAATTATTGTACTGTAACAAAACAGAACAAGACAATCCAGTACAGCATAGTCTACATAAAACTAAATGGATGAAAATTGTCACAAGGTCAGAGTCACAGCTAAAATGAAAAAGAAATTATTGCATAATTATTGATTAAAATTAAAAATAAATTGGGAGCCTCCTTTATAAAACACATCAGCCAAGTCCTGGGGTAGATGGTCCAGAAAGGGCTGCTATATTATATAGAAAGTGTTTGTATTGCCTTTTGGATGGACATGTTTAATGTCATACCATGGAACATTCCAGGAAAAGCAATAACATCTCCATGGAGACAAGCACCAGAAAAGTTGTGCAATGCACCTTTAAGGAACCGTTCAAAAGAGCCGACTCATTCACAAAAGTAACATCAATAGAAGGCATTTTTTCTGACAGATTAAACATTGATTTCACATTTTTACAGATCCTTTTCTAAATTTCAACATCGCTCTCTGCTTTTTGGCTTTACCTGTATTTTTTTCACCCATCATTGGATTTTCCCTTTGGTGCGCAGTGCTGGGTGGTAGAGCGAGTGCAGTGACAAAGAGAGAAAGAGAGAGAAAGGTGAGGCACGATGAAGACACTGCAACCAGGTCAGCATTTCTGTCTATGCCTGAGTCGTGGCTTTACATTGTGCTCCTGCTTGTGTGGGTGTCTATTAGGAAACGCGTTACAGGGCCTTTTGGATTACCGCAGTGAAGCTAAAGCGCCAATCCATAAAATCCTCCTTGAGAACACATTTTTATAAATAAATATCAGTATGGTGTAAGCCGATTCTTAGCCATGCCAGGACACGCGGGTCTGTGGGAGTGGTATTATAGCACAAGTGGAGTAGGAACACAGGCCACTCCTCCAGAGGTTTTTGGCCCCAGTGGGAGTGTTATCTCATTACAGAACAAATGCGTGACCCGGACCAGATGGAAGTACATGACTGGATGACGTCTGCTGAATGTAAACTGGAAAATAATTTGGTCGTGATTTGTCATTTGTCATACAACATAATTCTGTTTGAGTATTTTGTTGTAAAAATGTACTGTTACAATCAAGTGGTAGTAGGAGCACTAGTATTTTAGCCATGTTATAATGCTGTTGCCTCATCAAAAACAAAAACAAGAGTTGTGTTTTGTTTCATTCACGACTGTTTGAGTAATCTTTTATTAGTCTGTCTGTGATGTCGTAAAGCGGTAGTTTTCAAGTTAACAGCTACCTTTTACTTTTAGTTCAGGAGAGATGGGCAACTGCAGGGCCAAAATAATCCAAATGATTCAAGTGAAGGTGTAAGGAGTTTAATAGCGTACTTCCTGTATTACCTCATAATATTACAAGGTGGAACAGAGTGTTTTATGTTTGAGAGAAGAACTAAATCCATATATGCAGGACTTGTGTATGAATGAAATTAAAAACAATTCTGGGTATGTTTGTGATGAGGAAACAACAACACAACAGATCAGAAAGTAGTGTAATATGGGCCATTTAAAGAAAATGTCTGATCATTTATATATTATGCTACATTCCTTTTTGCCAATCTCTCTCTAGTTGTACCTATGTGGCCACTAAGATACAAAAGTTTAAAGTAGATTTTAACTTCTACTTTAAACTTCTGAAGTACAGCTTGGTCTCAGAGCAGGAGGAGCTGACCGTGGTCCTGAACACATAATGGGTACAGGAGCAGAGCAAAGAAAAGCTCTTTGTGGTAGTAAAGTTTCAAATGTCCTCATCTGTACAATCTTTTTGAGATATAGATGTTTCTACAGCATTCATTCCATAAGTAAATCTGAATCTGAAAATTCTGAGGAGTAGGAATTTATACTGCTGTAAGGGGAGAAGAGCAAGATTAGTCCATTGTCCATTGTTTAGACTTTTGAAACCTTCCTACCAGTGCAGTGTCCTTCTTATGACCTATTCTATGACAGTATTTTATAGCTGAATAATTATAGTTAGTGGATTTTTGAGTTAGGTGTGCAACTGGAGCTGCATCTGCAAATATGACATTGCACCCTTAGTGTGTGCTGGCTCCCCTCTCCACAGATCTTTAAATTGAAGAATAATAATTTGTTCAAGTATCAGTGTTAGTAATAGTAACAGCAGTAGTAGTAATATACTACTCTTAGGCTAAGAGCAATATATTGATACTTTGCAGTGACATCATGCTGGGGGGGTTCTGTATGCATGTATATGGCGGAATGTTTATCAGTCCTCATTAACAAATATGTATGTAATGATATCCAAATCTCTCAGTACGATATTATCATGATACACATCTCACGGTACGATATTTATTGCGATATTTTGGAGAGGTCAACTGTAGATAGGACACATTTCTGCTTTTAAAATACCTTGACAAGATTTTGGTGTGATTTATTTCTGTCATAATCCCAAGAATTCTAGTAAAAAACTATCTTCATGTAGTTTGCACTGAAATGAATCATGGGATATGTAGTTCCCTATATGATAACACGATATTTTGGTTATTTTTACATCCCTATTAACAAATGCTGTCAAAACAGTTTTAAAAGTCTGAAACTCAAGAAAAAATACAGAAGGGATTTTTTAAAAACACATTTTGAGGAGCCTGTGATTAATATTGCCTGTGATTAATAATAACGTCACACCCCCGGAGAACGTTGATGACATCAGCTGAAAAATATCAATTAGACTTGATCAGTGAAGTTAGAGTATAGAAAGGCTCACACGTTTTACAATTAGATCCGAGACATACACAGTCACACATGCAGCAAGTCAATTTTCAAGGTTAAACTGGCGTTCCTCTGTCTCACAACAAATCTGCATCAAAGCACGAGCCAACAGCTGCCAATTAACACGCCCTCCCTGCGTTAATACACTCACGTCACTGACAGTTAGAGAGAAGGGTGATCTCTCTTAACATCCTGGTACTCACATTTAGGAGAGGGGAAGACGAATGCCACCTTTTTAGTGATAAGTGGGAATGTTTTGTGCCAGGAACAAGGCTTTTGGGATTAGCTCTGTCACCCACATGCAAGAGGAATAATAGTGCAATAGATAGAGTCTGACAAGGAAAACGCAGAGAAATGCCAGAAGAGAAAAGCAAAGCCAGTGTAATGTTATTTTATGATCACAAAGATAATGCTTCACTGTGGTTCTCCTTGGGGTCTTCTTTTTCTCATAGTTTTTTATTGCCAAAAAGGAGGGTCTATGGACAGGGGGCGCTCTAGGACAGATGTGTTTGCTTGTTTCCTGTGAATGTTGATCAATCTCCTTGTGTGTCGTTGACCAATAACTGTTTCAAGGTTTGATTTTCTAATTTTCTTAAGGTTAAATCAACAATTTTGTGTAGCCCTGTGAGGTGGCTGCTGTTAAACTGAATTGTAAACTTAATTGAGTGCAAAATGTAGAGCAGATTTGATATATTATAACTATGTCTTTTTGAAAGTACTTATGAATCCTCAATATAATAAAAATAATGATAAATGGTGAAAGAGATACAGAAGTTGGATAGACCTGGCTTGTAAAACTGCACACAAAAACACAAGTTATTCATTTTATATTCAGAAAAAGGTTTGTGAGAAAAATATTGCTCAGTGTTTCTTTCCTGGATAAGTGAAGGTTAAAGGTGCGTTGTGTAAATTTTGCGGTGGAGAGTCCGTCAAATGCTTTTCTCCTTGGAGATGTTATTGCTTTGTCTGGAATGTTTCACAGCATGGTATTAAATAAACCTTTCTATTTTCATGAGGACCAAACCAAGCCAAGTTACGGGTCAGGTCTGTGGAGAAGAAATTTTGCTTACAGACAGAATGGTAGTTTTTCAAGGTGTTTTTGAACTATTAAACCTGCAAGAGAATACATTTAAATTAGATCTGTTTAATACTGTGGAACATCCAGGCAAAACAATGACATATCAATAGAAACAAGCAGGTGATGGAACCCCAACTAAAAAAGTTACTCACCTTTAAATATAAAATAAACTTCATGCATCAGCACAGGACATACTCAACCTTGTCTGCTGCGTTGCAGTGATTAGACCGTGTAAATGATTGAAACCACTAGATGGCAACCTTGCTCTTTTCATTTCATATTCAGTTTATTATATTCCACATGAGGCTGCTGCACTCCTAACATTTAGAGAGGGAACTGATTTATTATTGAATCTGCGACACTAACATTAGAGATTGTTTGGTCGTTTTAAGTTTAAACAAGGCTACTTACTTATTTGTTTTTTCCACAGAATTGTCTTGCCCTCTCAGGAGTAAGCTTTTCTGTGGTTCTAGCAGTGAGAATATATCAATCAGACGATCAATCCGAGGCACTCAGCTGGCTGGAGCTCGGCTGTACCCAGCGCTGCCTCCAGTCGCACCATCAATACAGTGACCTTCAAGAAAACAAAAGATTAGTGCAACATAATCAGGCCTCACACAGGCTGAGACGTTCACTGCAGGTGAAATGGCTCACCATTCAAACCATGAGGACAATGAAAAGAGCCGATGCTTACACAACAGGGCCCCAAACAGCTATAGGGTTGTGTTCATTAAAGATTTATTGCATTGGAAAGCCGTGAATATACAGTATGTTTTAATAATTGAGTAAGAACATATATTGCACCACTGTCTTGAGGGTATTCATAGTTATATGGCACACTTGGTTTTGCTTTGTATACATTGTACTACTTACCTAGTGTTATGGTGGATTACATTGTACTTACTTGTGAGTACAATGAAACACCCCACAACAATGTAATTTCATGTAATCCAAACCTAACACATTGCTTAACAAACTGCAATTACTAAATTATTAGTTTAAAGGTCCTATATTATACAAAATCAACTTTAGTAAGCTTTAAGCCACCTTATAATGTCGTTACCTCTTCAAAAACATACTTGGAGTTGTATTTCATTCACACATGTTTGAGTAATTCTTTATTCTTACTAATTATTATTATTAAGCTCAAAATGCACTGTTCGACCTTGATGTCATAAAGTTTAAAACACAGTGGAGCACTTCCTGTATTATCACATGATATCACAAGGTGGAACAGATAGGGTCCTGTTAGAGCGAAGAAGTAAATATGCAGGGTTTGTGTTAAACATGAATGAAAACAAAACACAACTCAGGGTATATTTGTGATGAAGAAAAGTTATAGCACAGATCAGAAAACAGCAAAATATGGGCTCTTTAAGTGTTTGAGGGTTTGCAATACAACAGGTCACTCCCACTGCATTATAATGTAATTAATAAGCATCAAATGCAATGTAAAATAAAGTGAGATTTTGTTTTGCTCAAAGCTGCTAAAAGGTCAGATAACAGCATATAGTTTTTATAGTATACATTTTATTCAGCATCTGCACAGGTCAGGAGCAGTGCTATGCGATCCTTCAAGCACAAACTCCAGAGGTGTGATTGACTCTCCTCACACTTAATAAAGGTGTCTTAAAAGAGAAATGTTCCAGTCTGGGCCAGTGTCCATCACTTCTTCTTGCCAGTGTTCTTGGCAGCTTTGGCAGCTTTGGCTGGCTGCTGCTGGGAGCCTGGGTTCTGCTCGTCCTCCACAGAGACTTGTTCCTCTGATTCTTCTTTGTCCACTGCATTATAGACGTTATACACATCGGACACTTCCAGCAGCTTCCTACGGCTCGCCCACAAGTTTGCCTGAGCACAAAAAATAAACAAAAGGGAGTTAAAATGCATATGGCTGTTTTTCACGGTTTTCTAATTATTACTTTGTTTGGTTGGATAGTATATGTGGTAAATATTTATCATTGTTTTACATCAGTTACATGGTAGCTTGTGGGGGAAAAATGTTGAGAAGAAAAGTACAAAATAAACAAGAAGTAGTGGAGAGCTGTAAAACAGAACACCTCTAGCAAATCAATCAAAAATGCAGGGAGGCCAGGGAGACCCCTCCTTTTGAATTATGGAGATGTACACAATGATGTGTCACAATTTAAAGGGCCTATATTAGGTTTCTGATCTATATTATAATGTTGTTTCCTCATCACAAACATAACTGGAGTTGTGTTTCATTCCATTTATATGTTTAACACACAAATCCTGCATATTTAGGCTGTGTTCTTCTCTCAAACTGAAATAACTCTGTTCCACCTTGTGATGTCATGAGGTAATATAGTGCAAGTGATCTACTGTGTTTTTAAACTCTATACACCTTCACTTGAATCATCTGGAGGATTTTAGACCTGGAATTGGTAATGTCCACTGAATTAACGGTAAAATTTAGCTGTTAACTTAAAAACTACCACTACATGACATCACAATGTGGAACAGAGCATCTTGAGCTTTGGAGATGTAAACAGACTAATAATAAAGGGTTATTCAAAAATGTGTGAATGAAACAAAAAACAACTCAAGGTATGTTTTTGAGGAGGTTTCAACACGGCTCACATTTCTAGCATAGAGCTTTAATTATTTGAATATGACTGGTGAGTTAATGGTTGTAAAAAACATAGCTGACCTGCATATTGGCATACATGTCCTGTTGACATCTCTTGAGCTTCTCTCTGTGGATTTCTTCCTCTTTGCGAAGCTCCAAAACATTTTCTCGAACCAAGCGATAAGACTGAATCTTCTCCATGCGCTCACTCGTCTGTAACTCTTCAATCTGTGTGTTGTACAATGAGGGCACATCCTTTTCCTGTCTATAAGAATACAAAATATGACAGACTATTATTTTAAAAAGCCTATACCTATTTTAATGTATTCTAAACAAGATAAATGCTTTTTACATAATTTTTCATATAAAGCTGCCAAATAATAAAATAAATTACACTAAATTATATTCATTTTAGATGGAATTTTCACATTTTTGTCCATTCAGGCACATTTTTGCAAAGAATCATGGAAAACCTACTGCCTGACATGCTCGCAGACATTTGATTCCCTTGCACTTGATGATGTATTTTCAAGTGACAAATAAACACGTGGTTGCAAAAAGCTCATGGCTGGACACATGGAAGTTAGTTACGGGCCCTTTAACTGTTCCACATTAGAAACTTTTATAATAGTAGTATAATACTAGTATAATAGTAGTTCTTGAATACTTTTGTTGTTTATTTTAGTTTCTGGTCTATCTGAAGTTCTGAATTACTTTGGGGACTTCAGATTTGGGTGTCTATCTTAGGTCTAAACTGAAAAAAAAAATCATTCAAAGACAGACTGTACCAGAATGGTCATTTTCCCCACAGAATTAAACCTTCTCAATCAGATCCCAATACTAGAGTGATATTTTGAGAGATAGACCATCCCATAATATCCCATTTTGATTAGATGACTACACAGTCAGTCTAATCAAAATGGAAATCTGTCTGAAAAAAGATACAGTTGCATATGAATATCATCTCACAAGCAAGATGGAGGACGGATATCTGCAAAGTCAATTTAGTCAGATTATCATGATTTAATCTAGTGATGCTGACACCTGATAGTGTCCATGAGTTTAGTGTAGACAGTATTTCAGTCTGGAAGAACTATAACAATTCTGTTCAGTTCTGTGTAAATCATTATCAAACAATGAAACTCAACAAAATTAATAAACGCACCACTAACTACAGCCAACTACTACTGATCACTACAACTGGTAGAGGGTAGACTTCGTCACCTGCTAGTTTAGTTTGTTTTCTTATTTTTAGCTCTGTCTAAATCAATAGTTTAATTCCATACTGTGTAATATTCCAGAAAAAGCAAAAACACTTCCAGGGAGACAAGCAGGTGGTGGACCCCCCCATGAGAAAAGTTACACAATGCAGCTTTACCACCACTACTTTCAATATTACTACCACCACTATTTACACACAATCACGCACACTGTAATTTCAAGCAAATAGTCAATTTAAGTATTTTAGAAAAAGTACTTCAATGACTACAGCAGAAATATGTTAGTAAGCTTTCTGATAACAACAACGCTTCATATGACAATGATACAAATGCGCTCTAAAAGTGTCTCGGGGGAGAGTACCGGGGCTAAGTACATTTCAGTATTTTCTCCTAGCAGACGTTATGAACAGACAAGGTCAGGCGATGGGGTGCAGGTGGTTAATGAACAGTGGCCCCGTTCACCTCTCTCTCAGCACTCTCACATTTTATTATGCTGTGAATCTGTGATGTGCCCACTGCGAAAGGAAGTGTAAAGTAACGCTAATTTACTGAAACACTGCCAAATAGACTTCTCTTTTGGCTGCTCTTTGCCTTGAAATGAAGGCCGCAGTGTCATTGGCTATTAGCTGGTGGACACAAGGACTGTTGTAGACAGCCTTGTAAAACTAAATAAGAAATGGAAGTAGTAGCGTCTTGTGGCACCTACTGTATATCCACAACACCACTGTGAGAAAAGTAATATGAAAAGGTAATATGAATTCACCAAAATATCCCTCAAACACAGACACACATAGAATACTAAAGGAAAGCTCTAGATGATAGGGACACGAGAAAAAAAGAAAGAAAAAGAAATTCTTGTTGCCATAATGTACCTGATAAATGGGGTATAGTCCATCGGAACAAATGGGTTGGAGGGAGCTGTAAACGATATGTTTATTACTGCACAAAATATTCACAAAAAATATTGTAAAATGCATTCCATTAGAGACCTTACCACAATCTTTATTTTCTGTATTCTCTGTATTTTCCTTGAATTGTTCAAGGAACTTGAGCCGAGACTGCAAAGCCTAAAAAACAATGACGCATTTAATTTTATCAACTCAATGAACTTTTTTTTCTGGCTACACTCTCTTACCTTGGCAGCACGTCCCGGTTCGGCTGTCTCCCAAGCTCTTTTCAGGGCTTTAATCTCATCTCTTCTCTCTGTGTCCTTCTTCACCTTCATGTTTTCAGATTTGTCAATGACCAAACGCAGCGTCCAGTATGCCTTCGACTGATCTATAATCTGTAGTACAATCAATGGTCAATATTCTCATAGTACATGCCAAGATTTACAGTTATACTTAAACGTGCACTTTAGTAATGCAGATGTTATTGCTTTGCCCACAATGTTCCACAGTATGGCATTAAACTGATTTGTATCCACAGAGAAGCAGGTGACACCACAAAATTAAGTAACTTGTCAGAACTCTGAAGTAGCGTCCACACTCACAGTAAACACGCAGTTTTTTAGCCGTACCTGTGGAATAGACTTGGCAAAGCAATTCCATGGAGACAAGTTACAAAGTGCAGCTTTAATATAATTCTTCAGTTCACATATTCAAATGATCATATCTTACTGTTTCCTGGACCTTGGTATCTTTTGGTTTCCCCTTCTCTTTGGGTTTAGCCGTTTCAGTTTTTGGCTGTTCAATGGGGGGTGGTGCCAGCGTGTCTGCAGATTGATTCACTAAAATCCAAACATGTATATATGTAGATTTTTAAAATTAGTTTTGTTGAATAATCTTGAAAATCTAGAGCATCACATATAGTCTAATACTTGTAGTCAGTTTTTAATACATATAATAGCACCTGTGTGCTGTGTGTGTGCTTGTATGCTAGATGGCACTGTTGCACTGTGGAGGAGAACAAGAGGTCCAGTGTTTAGACTTAGCAGAGGCTTGATAATCCATCATTTAGCTGCCACCCGCCTCAGCCCAAACAGCTTTGTGCATTCTCCCCGGGTTCATCTAATCACAGTCATACTGATAGGCTCTGGCCATTTAGGATCTAAGCATCACTGTCTATTTACACCCTCACAGAAAACACAAACATAATACTTGTGAAAACAGCTACATTATTCACTGTCGCGGGTTCAGATTATGATTTTTATCAACATTTTAAAGCATAGTCACTGGAGCATGGCTATATCTGATCTAATGAAGTATAACTTTTCAAGAATTGAGAATGTGTATAGTTTTGCTGAGTTTCAAATAATAATAAAACAATAAAAGGGGTAAATTCATTCTTGTCAATACAGATCTTCCTGTTATATGTTGTTATATTTTGAGGATTACTTCCCATTCAAAAGATTTAACATTTTATTTCCAAATCACTATGACAACAGTACTCATTTCTCATCATTCTGATAACCATGGAAAGCACGTTCAGGGTCTGGTCACAAGCATAAATGATCAGGTTCAGCATTGTCTGTATTTTCTTATTTTCTATCAGTCTGTGAGTTTCAGAATGATCAAAATTAGGACTGCTGCTAAAACAATAAACAAATTAAAGCTAAATATTACATCTTCTGAATGGGAAAAGGACCTCAAAAGCTGCAGTAATCAATGAAAATGGAATTGAGTATTTCCCCCCATTCTAGGATCTGAAAACAACCAGTAGTATTCTGAATGAGGTGGTTTAACATGAAGCGATTCACAGCTCAGCGTGCACTAGTGCTGTCTACATGTAGTATGTAGGGAGCATGATCAAGGGCAGAGCCTCACCACTGAGACAAGTTAAACTGGGTGAAATGAATTCACTTTCCTGCTGAGATATTTCCCAGGGCACCATGGGGCAAGAGCCAACTTCATTTGACTTCCTATTGACCTACTTTCACAGGCTTATTGAAAAACCATCAGAGAATTGTGTGGTCATTGGCCTGTGTGTGCACAATTGGAAACTGCATACAAAGGTACTTCATTTATAAATACAAAGCACATATTATTGCCCATAGAATAGTTTTCATCAAAGTATGTTTTTTATTCTGACACATACACATAACTGGAACCGGAGTTTGTTTACCAGTGCTTACAGGAGGAAAAGCCCACAGGTATATATGCATTCTCGTCATTGTATTTTCTACTTATAATTTCTAGACACTGAAGAAAAGGGGGATTTCAACTAAACCTTTTTCCTTTTTTCCTTTTTTCCCCTCTGGCACTCAAAATGTCAATGCTATAGCACCTCTTTTTCATCAACTTCCTCATATTGTAATTATTCACCCCCTCAGAATTTTTAAAATGCAGTTGCAAATTTCAAAGACAGCGTTTTTCAGCTGAACCAATTTGAGCAGCTTGATTAAAGGCAGAGAAGCAGAGTCGGTGGCGGACTACGAGATTATTGCGACCAGTGGGCAAAAGAAATCCACTCTGATCTGGTAAAGCAGCTGTATTCGTTTGGCTTTGATTAGGCGAGTGATTACAGGGCCGGAGCAGCGAGCACGGACGCTCTGAACAGTCACTGGCCCCTGACACTGCCTACTGAGGATGTGCTGTTTTTCAAAGGGCAGTATTGCGCAAAGTTTCTTCTTTTTTTTTAGCCTGTTGCCATGTTACAATGTTGCATCCTCATCAAAAATGCCATGCCTGGAGTTGTAGTTTGTTCTCACATGTTTCAGTAACCTGAATATTCTCCAAAGATCAAACACTTCCCCTCTCAGCTCAAGCTAAGCACATTCCTCCATGTTTTTAAAGTCCACCTACATCTTCCTAACATCAAATTGCCTCTGCTAATCTCTATTGTTTATCACTTGAAACAAACTGCTTCCTTCTTCACTCCTACTCTATTCCACTTTGAGAATGCCTGATCTTGTCTGATCTCGGATGCTAAGCTGAAGCAGGGTTGAATCTGCTTAGCACTGGGATGGGAGACAGCGGGGAATGGCAGGTACTGTAGTGGGAGTACTTTCTGTACTAAAGAAATACCAAGGCTACATCTTAAAGGTCCTTTATAATGCACAATTGATTAGTGAATTTTAAGACATGTCAGAACGCTGTTACCTCATCAGAAACATACCTCTAGCTGTGTTGTTTCATTCACATCTTTCGGTAATCCTGGTTTATTTGTCTGTCTATATCTCCAAAGCTCAAAATGCTCTGTTCCACATTATGATGTCATGTAGTGATAGTTTTCAAGTTAACCTTTTACCTTTTGTTTTGCGGAGATTGGCAATTCCAGATTTGAAATGATCCAAATCATTCTAGTGACGGTGTATTGAGTTTAAAAACACAGTAGAGCACTTCATGTATTACCACATGACATCACAGGGTGGAACAGAGTTTGAGTGTTTGAGGGAATCTAAATATACAGGGTTTGTGTGTTAAAAAAAAAAGTGAGAATAAAACAAAAAAAAACATTATACATTATACAACATTATAATAACATAGAAAATAGTATATGAGCTTTTTTCAGTATTAAAAAATCTTAGATAACACATACTATACTGTAGGACCATGAAACTACCTGTGGAATATCTAGGAGGAATTACGCTTATCTAAACACACTGTACCTCTCAAGTCGCTCTTCTCTAGATCCTGGAGTGTGTGGACATAAGCCAGCTGAGACTCATCCAGGTCCCAGCTCTCATTTAGCACCTCTGCTTGCACCACGTATTTATGAGTCTGAGACATACAAGACAACAAGACAACAAGACATAAACAATGCCTATATACTTTATGCACGTACCAACAAACAGTGTAGTATATCCATCTAGGCACAGGTTAGGGCTGGGAATCACAGGGTCCCTCACGATTAGATACAGTACATAATACAAGGCTCACGTTACGATATCATATGGCGAAAGATGCAATAATTGATATGTAGCACATGATTCTCTGTGATATGCTGTGTTTTTTTTTAAGAACCAAACACAACTGAGCAACAATGTTTTCTTTGTTAAACCACTACTTGCTCATCAAAACAGTGAATGTGCCAACTGTTTTACATAAACAAGTTTCCTTCCACTAAATAAGCAACTAAATTGTAACGCAGTCACAGAAACAATTGCTAAAAGATACCAAAATGTAGCATTAACATACAGCTCCAGAAGAACCACAGGCATTTATTCTCCATTACTGGCTATCAATAGTGTACGTCTTGTTTGCATCCCACATGGTGCAACACAGTGCTTTAATCACTGGTCCGCTGCTCTAAAACAGGATTAGTGTTCTCACCCAAGATCAATAGCTGTTTACTCTGGACTACCACATGATCTATGGAATTTGACATGATCTGCCTCATTATGATCGGTGTCTCTGTGGTGCTGCCTAGTGTCAGTGTAAGTGCATGCTTTTTATAGTCTGAAGATAATCTGAAAAAATGCTAAATGAATTCCAACAAATTTTCAAGAGCAAGTGATCAAGCATGTGATTGCTGGTTTGGGTGTTTAACAAAAGGAGAAGGTGTGACAAAAGCAGTTAGGTAATGATAGCTTGTGTAGGGATGCTTTTAGCGGCATAATTTCAGCTCTCCGGTCATTTCGTTATGGTCATAGTGTGTTAAAACAAAGCCTAGTTTAAAGGTCTTATATGAAGCAGAATTATCTCTTGTGAGCTTTAAGTCATGTTAGAATGCTGTTATGTCATCAAAAACATATCTGGAGTTGTGTTTTGTTTCATTCACACATTTGAGTAACCTATTATTATTAGTCTGTTTACAACTCCAAAGCTCAAAATGCTCTGTTCCACCTCATGAACCGTCATGAAGCGGTAATTTTCAGGTTAACAGCTACCTTTAACCTTTTATTCAGGATGAAATTTTACAGCTGAACACTTCCTGTATTCAGTGTTGGGGAGTAACGGATTACATGTACCAGAGTTACGTAATCAGAGTACAAATTATGAGTAACTGTATTCGGTTACAGTTACTGTTTAAGTGAGTGGTAATTAGACAACAGTTACTTGGTTGAAATAAATGGATTACACAGAGATATTTTCCTGTTTTCACATTTTTTTTTCTTTTTTTTTTTTGGTAATTCCACTCATTGCTGGACACTAAATCAGGTCTAAACCCAGGTCTAAACCCAGGTCTAAACCCAGGTCTAAACCCAGGTCTAAACCAGGTCTAAAACCAGGTCTAAACCAAGGCCTAAACCAGGTCTAAAACCAGGTCTAAACCAGGTCTAAACCCAGGCCTAAACCAGGTCTAAAACCAGGTCTAAACCAGGTCTAAACCCAGGTCCAAAACCAGGTCTAAACTAGGTCTAAACTAGGACTAAACCAGGACCAAACCAGGACTAAAACCAGGTCTAAACTATGTCTCAAACAGGATTTAACAAGACTAAACCATGCTGTGAGGACTGTGTCTCCTCCTCTTCTATCAGTACTATTTTTAATTTGGTTAAGTAAAGTCTGGGCTTTTCATTTTCTTTTAGCAGACAAAACATCTTATGTGAAGATTTCCTAGTCTTTGCTACTCTACAGCAAATCAAGTACTCCAAAGTATTCAGAATACGTTACTCACCTTAAGTAACTTAATGGATTCCGTTACAGACTACATTTTGGGGTATATAATCTGTAATCTGTAGGGGAATACATTTTAAAAGTCACCTTTCCAACACTGCCTGTATTACCACATGACATCACAAGGTGGATGTCATGATTTTTTTGCATGAGATAAGAACTCTGCCTAAAAATGCAGGGTGTGTGTGTGTTAAATAAGACAAAACACAACTCCAGGTATGTTTGTTGAGGAAACAACATTATAACATAGATCAGAAAATAGTGTAACATAGGCCCTTTAAGGTCCAACTTGAATAGCAGGGCTTCAGACAGAAAAGTGCCTCCAGTTAGCCTCCCCAAGGAACGATGAAGGCTACCAAAAAAGATATGTACTGTATTTAGTGTTGTCTGTATTAGGAGCCACAACCTCTGAAGGTTCATTGTCAAACCACCATACTATTTGTAATAATATTTGCTTTCATAAATTATTTACTTCATTCACAAGGCGTATGATAAGATGTTATTAAAATGATTGGCTACACAGGCGGGCATAATGTTCAGTGATCACTTACAAAAAGGCCAACCTCGTTTTCCATAGCACAGTCTGTTCTGCGCTGTTGTGTGTGTAAAAAACAGATATTATCATTCCACACCACAGGGGCTCTGCAAATCACGGTGACTCATCAATCGTATTCAAATCATAGTTTCCTGACAAGCTCTGATAAGTAGACAATCTAAAATCTAAAAAAAAATCCCTCTACACTTCTCTTCTGTCTTTCATTGTGCGTGGGCGTGTGCAACTTTCACATGTGTCTGAGGACGTGCACGCTGCAAAAAGGCGAAAAGTGGAAAAATGAAAGGCAAACAGGAACAGCAAACAAGTGGGTGAGCTGCGGCGAGTAGAGTGAGAGAGTGCGAGTGTGTGAGCGGCAATGGATGGCACACAGGCAGTTGTCAGTGATACCGTGGTCTCTGTGGGAGGCTGAGCATTGTCCACTTGGTGCCTTTGTTTGGGGCTGCTTGGTTTGTCCTGGTTCTTCTCATCTGAAACAATCATAAAGAAAGAGTTTTAGAAAAGAGGGACTGCCTAAAGAGGACATTTAAGGTTTAGTGGTGGTATTTTGTATTTCAAACTAAACTACATACATCATTATTTTACATTTTGTCCACCGTAAGTCGCAATATTGATCTAAAACGGCTTAATAATAAAAAAGATCCATTGATTTCCAGCTCAAAACAGCAGAACTGCTAGGCCTCACTGCTTCACAAGGGCATTTTACTGTAGCAAGATTTTTAATAACATTTCTATTGTTGAAAAATGGCTATGTAACATTTTTTAACACTACATGTATGAATCTGTACAAGCACAGAGCAGTGGGCAGAGACAGGGGGATAGCTGAAAAGTCTGAGATTCATGATGACAATGTGGTGATGTGTAGTTACTGGTACTCTATATAATAATAGGACATAATAGGACATAAACGCTTACCAACATTGGCTAAAAAGAAGAACACAGGAATCATGATATGCCCCATCCCTGTGCGCCTGGTGACCTCTTTTCCATGGTCAAGGATCAAGACACGAATCATAACATCGGACTTGGAAGTTTCAAACTGAATAGTACTCAACACATCTGCAGTAACTTCCACTATATGGCTGTGAAGACACGGCAGTTTTCAGTACCACAAGGAAACAGCACAGCAAATTAGATCTAAATATTGTTAGTTTTCTTACCGACATATAATATTATGTTTGTTTGGAATGTAATAATCTTTGAATTCCTTTGGTACAAATTTATTCACAGATTTCTCATTGGCTGGCTTTGGAAGGAACTCATTAGAACCGATGAGGCGCATTCTCCAAGTGAGGGGGTTAGTTGTAGTAGTAGTTTTAGATGATTCAGAAACAGCCTCTGCTAAAAAGGTATAACCAAGCTGTAACAGATATATTTATTATTATTAAACTGGATTTAAATAGTGTTTGTCAAGACATCCAAAAAGATACAGATGTGAAGTTTATGATCATGTTGAGGAATGTAAGTCATTGTAATACCAGACCTGATTGGGTTGATAAACATGAGGAACAATTTTGTTAAAAACAGTTCTCAGCTCCTCTCCAGTGTCATTATTTATGACATGCAGCACACAGGGAGAAAGCTGTGAGGTGACTTTTGGCAGCAGAAGTATTTCATTGGTCACAAAGAACACCTCTCTGTGGACAAAAATATGTCTTTAGTTAAGGATCACATTGTATATTTTATGGTTAAAATGCACATTTACCTGAAGACTATAAACCAGGATATGCTGGTGTCTTGGATTTGAGTAGAATAATCAGCATAAGATATATTAGCCCAGTCGTCCTTTTGACAGGGATATAGATCTGCATCTCTTCCACAATTCTCAATGATGTACCTTAAAATCAAAACAACAGTGGGGTCACATTTTATGTAGACTTTTGGTCAGGACTGTTGATTAGAAGAATACTTGTGTTTTGCAAATTGTATAAACCATACAGTTTGTGAAGTTAAAGGGCCCATATTACGCTAATTTCTGATCAATGTTATACTGTTGTTTCTTCAAAACATCAAAAACATACCCGGAGTTGTGTTCTATTCATTCACACATGTTTAATACACAAATCCTGCTTATTTAGGCAAATTTTCTAACACTCTGTTCTGCCTTGTGATGTTATGTGGTAATACAGGAAGTGCACCATTGTGATTTTAAATTTAAACTAGAATAATTTGGATAATTGCAGGTAAATAATGCAGGGTTACTCAAATATGTGTGAAAGAAACAAAACACAACTTTAGACATGTTTGTGATGAGGTAACAACAAAATAAAATGGCTTAATGCTCACAAGAGTCAATTTTGTGTAACACAGGACCTTTAAAGTTTCACCACGGATAAGCCACTTAAGTTTCAACAAGTGTGGCTCCAAACACAGTGCAAAGGTATGTGTAGTTTTGAATGCCTGCACATACACACAGAATATTTCTCTGGGCAGCAGCAGGTCATACGACAAACAGCACTAACCCATTGGACAGGGGCAGCACAAACAGCAGATGGTACCACAGGGAGAGGATGGAACACACTGTGGAAAAAGCCCCCCCTGCCTCGACACCACAGGCTGTCAGCACCAAGACAGGCAAGGAGCAGATTCTTGTGGTACAACAATGGCTGTGGTTGAATGTACACTCAAAATCAGATTATCTACAGATTTTTGGAGTTTTAAGATTAATAAAATGAAATGTAAACAGCAAAGTCTACAGATTTCTTACTAATCATGGTCCCTCTGGTTACTCACATCACATCACAGCGTTTGCAGTTTGCATTTCATTTAAATCATCTTTAAGCTCCAGAAATCAGATTCTGATGTGTATGTCAGCATGGCCACTGATATCAACTTGTCAACTGGCACAACGGACATGTACAGGCAACACTTTATGTTAGGGTACACTTATTAATATATAACTAGCTGCTATTTTTGCATGTGGTTAATTTGATGTTGATTAACATAACGTATTCTTATTCAGCATAACCATATTCCGCTGCTAGTAACAAATTACACAATTAACACTTTCCTATTAATAAACTTAGAAAATAAATAAGTGGCGAAAAAAGTCATTTATTGTGGTACTAGCCCTTACCAAAAGCCTATTAGGAGAATAATCCATGAACAAAAATCATAAGGAGATTGTTAAATGAAAAGTTAATAATTGTCTAATTAGCAGCAGAATGAGGATATGCAGAATAAGACATAAATAGGCTTTGTGCACAATAGTACCCGGCAACCTCACTGTTAGCGTCACTACTTCCTGTCCAGTTTTATCTCTATGAGGCTGAGTCACGCTTATTTATTTTATTTTATTTTTTTATAACAATAATTTAAGATAAAGCAGCGGACAATGGATTGTGGGTCCAATTAATACTTCACCGGAGGACACTTCTGTGTTTAGAAAAGAAGATGTTTGTGATTTTGAGGCATAATAAAAAACAACGTCACAAATTTATATATTATATGTTTAAAAATAATTGGGTAGTCTTTATTTTCATTTATTTGAATTTTAATGTTGTTTTATGTTTTCTGAGTTTTAATAAAAGTGACACAGTGAGCTATCTAGTGTTCTGCTGCGCAGAGAGTATATAAAAGCCAAATACATACTAATCAACATCAGATCAACCACTTACAGGACGTGTACGGAAATTAGCAACTGGTTTTAAGACAAAATAAGTGGACCTAAAAATAAAGTGTTATCCATGTAGAGAATGGAAGAGAATGGTGTTTTGACATGTTTACCTCAGCAGATGAGCAGCATGTTTCTCTGCATCAGATGCTACCTTTGGCCACATGTCGGACAGGATCTGAGCTGCTCGAGCATTCTCCGGTGAGCCTGACAGTAAGAAGGGAAACAAGAGTGGCTATTAGGAAAGACAGTGTATGGTGGAGCCTCATTCTACAAAATATTCTATTGTGGTGTACTGAGCCCATGGCGAGGGATGTCACAATGTCAAATTTTTGAGTTTTCATTATTGTCAGAAGAAACACTATAATTTAAATGGCCCATATTACACTGGTTTCTGATCCATGTTATAATGTTGTTTCCTCATCACAAACATTCTTAGACTTGTGTTTTCTTTCATTCACACATGTTTAACATTTGAACCCTGCATATTTAGGCTGTGTTCTTCTCTCAAACCTTCACTTGAATCATTTGGATGCTTTCAGCCCTGGAATTGGCAATCTCTACTGAAATAAAAGTAAAAGGTAGCTGTTAACTTGAAAACTACCACTACATGATATCACAAGGTGGAAGATTCTGAGCTTTGGCAATGTAGACAGACTAATAGCAAAGGATTACTCAAACATGTGTGAATGAAACAAAACACAACTCTAGCTGTTTTTAATGAGATAACAACATTATAAGAGCTTAAAGTTCAGTAGGAACTGTAAGATGTTATTCATATTATCCAAGCAACAGTCACATTATCTAATAGGTGACTATTCCTCTAGTATATGACAGCTTTATCAAACCAAACTTTCTGAATTCTGAAGTATGGTAAATGGTAAATTGTCACATTTTATATAGTGCTTTTTAAGACACTCAAAGCATCAAGCATCAAGGAGGCACTCACCCATTCTCACACACATTCATACACCAGTGTACGCAGGCATGGTGGGTTAAATGTCATGCCCAAGGACACAACGACAGTATTCATCTGTGGGAGCTGGAACTACACCTTCAACCTGTAGGTCAGTGGCTCTGACCGCTCATCCAATGATGTTTTATGTTGAGAGTGGGATTCAAACTGCCAACCTTCAGAACAATGGACAAATGCTCTACCAAGTGAGTACTGTCGCCCAAGTAAAGTTTATGTGACAGATTTAATTGAAATTACCTAATTTTTGCTTCTAAATTTGCCACAGTTTTTAAGCTACATAATTTATTGCAAATAAATGTTATTTAACACAAATTTAAGATAGCAATACAGGTAATTCTTTGCATTACATGCAATTATATCACAAAAATGAATTATTTTGGCTACATAGAGCATATGTCGTCATTTAATCTGCTTTTAATGCAACACTTTATCATGGTTAGTTTAGATTAGTTTAGTTTAAACAGTGCCTATTTATAATTTACAAATGACTGATCTTTTCCATTGTTCAATTATCTAAATATAACACCATAATTACAGTAAAATAGATATTATTTTTATAGTGTAGGTTATAATCTTGTATAGCCCCAATTTCACCCTCACCTAGGGCTAGAATAAATCGCCTCAAGGAAGCGGACAGGCGATGGTGGATGACTCAAATGTTCAGATGTGTGCATCTGGAGAAAGCCATTGCGGAAATAAGGCAATGATAGACGTTTACTTCTCTGACTGGAGCGCTTAGTGCGATTTTCTAAATGGCTACTTTTCTCAATTGCCACTGCCATTATATGGGCTGAGGCTTTTGAGAGATGAAGACCTCCTATCATCTCAAACAGCCCCAGCAGAGGACACACTGACAATCTACTCATCTCCAATGCAATCTTTTTGTCAGCTTTGCCAGTCCATGCTTTCTATTGTCCAATATTTTCAAACCAAGAAAAAGAACAAGCATTCACACATGCAGTAGCACAGCTCTGTATTATGTGGATGCTGAATTAATAATAAGGCTGTATGCACTGCCATATGTGCATGCAGTTCACATTTTGACACTCTGTTTATGTTCAGTGCATTCACATAGAACATGAAATATTGTAAGATAATGTCTGATAATTCAGTTCACAGTGCTCATTTTAAAAACATAACCTATATCATTTTAAAGGAAAGTGAATATGAACTGTTAACTTAATACATGTTTGCAGTAGGGTTCTCAAAAGTATTGAAAATCAGATACAAACTGATACTAAAACTAGTATCAAAATAGACTTGAGCAAATGCACTTTCTATACTAAAAAAGTCACATTCACAGGACACAAATGAGCCTTTCCTGAATATCTTTAGAATGATCTTGAGTAGTAACTGAACTATAAGAAGAAATATAAGACCACATAGACTAGTAAACCCTCAAGGACCACTATGGACCTGGATGACCGTGAAAATGGTAATATAAAAGAAAGTACTGTGACTTAATGTTAAAAATGTTCTAAATGAAGTGTGTTTTTTATTGTGGTATAGGAATTGACATTCCTTAGTATCAAAATCAAGTTTGAAACAGTAGTTTGTAGAGGTCCAAATTCCAGGGTTAGTTAAATTTTCCACAAAAACAAAATATTCTGATGTTTACAAAACATTCAATATCCAATGGATTGTCTGCACCTTTTGCAATTTTATTTAAATAACAATTCACAGTGATTGTGATTAGATTCTACATAACTGTGTAACAATATGAGGTACTACCACTGGATAGAAAACCATGCTGGAATAGACTATACATTTCTTCAAGTAAAATCTCTATGTTGAAATTCCTCCATCTTGCTCTTGCAGTCAGAGAGAGAAAATGTGTGTTGATGCAGAGCTAATGTGTGAATATCTGTGTGTTTCCCCTCTGTGACCAGCTCTCATCTGTCAGCCTGGATTAGTTAGAGTGGCAGTCCCATCAATACATATTTGTGCCCGTGCTCAGGGCTTGATACATGCCACTGGCTGAAGCAAGAGTCAGAAGCAGGTGTTCCACTGGAGACGCTGCTGCTATATTCAAAAATAATCATGAACGCAGTGAGTGACAGAGAAGACGAGTATGGGTACGAGAAGAGTGGAATGTTCTTATGATAATAATAATGATAATATGTTTTGTCATTCATAGTGATCATAAAGGCTTTAGAACTTTTTTTTTTTCGTGTCTTGTTTTAGAATTAAAATGTACCTGGTTCAGCTGCTTTAAAAATCTTTCTGCTTAAGTGCCCCCTGAATCCAGCCTGAATAACTGCAGCTGCTTTTTCCTCTTCTTCTGTTGGTTCTCTGTTTATCCAGTTTTTCAAGTCTGTTGAAATATGACCCACTACAGAAGAAAACCTAGTTAACAGTTGTGTTAACTAATCATTTTAAAATGTTAAATTCTTACTGTTTGATGGTGGTTTATTGACCACAAGAGCTGGGTCCATAGTGAGAGCATGAAGTGCAAACTGTTCATCAGCAGTTAACTTCCTCCCAAGAGCTTCGGAAAACATATTATAAACCGCCAAGTTAAAGACCTAAAGGACAAAGAAATAAGCTTAAATTTAGACTTACATGTATTCATTTGTTGTGAGTGGTTTGTGACTACTGCACAGGAGAGTTTACCGTGCAGAGTTTCCAATTCTTCATTGTGTTGGTGAAGTTTTGGGGGTAGTAGGTCTTGAGCAGGGCTCTCCTGGCAGTTGGACACTCATCTACATCACAGAAGGATGCCACCACCTTGGACAAGGCCGTCAGGATGGATGATGCCAGCGTGGTGAAGTGAAGACTGCTCTGTTTAGAGGATGGCACAAAGGAGAGTCAGTTTTACCTAAGCCATATGGTTGCGGTCAAAATGTCAAGAGTTCTGGTCTCCACACAGAATTAGTCCATGATTTTTTTTTGCCACCTATCTGTGAACAGTATAGGCTAAATTACATTTGAGATAAATTATCCTATTAAATACTTTTGCATGTAGCAATGTTTTAACTGAAAATACTTATTTAAAAAATATATAATTTATGAGGATTCATGTCTAATCTTGTATTTTGTCTTGTTGGATTTGTGTTTCAATTTGTGTGTTAACAAAAACACACAGCCTTTTCACTATTGCCATCCTTAATATTATGAACAAAGACTTTGTCCAAAGAAGAGGATGGCAATTTTCTATTATCTCTGTTGACAGATGGACATTAATCTTTTTGTCTGTTTCATTGTTTTGATTTTTGCACTGTTTATCAATTACTATACTGTCATGTGAGATAATTGTTGTTGTGAATAACACTGGACATTAAAAAATTAATGTTCACTGACAAAAGTCTGAAAAACTCCAAGACCAGGTTCACCACTCTTTATATTTAGGATACTAATAGGCCAAGCAGGTAGTCAACTGTACTATATGTTAATGTTAGAGGGTTGAATGAAGCACCTTGGTAATTTGTGGCAGTATGGTATCTTCATCCCCAACTGAAAAAGGTGTCTCACTGAAAAGCCGGATGCTGTAACCCAGAGCTGATGATGTGTAAATACGTAGTACATGTCTCCTGTAAAAGAATAAAAAAATCAATAAGAGTTTTCAAACTAACAGTGTAAAGTATACCTAAAGACATCTGTTCTTTTGTCAAACACTTTTCAAGATCAAAAGAGTAAACTGATTCGGGGATCTGCTTGGCTGGGCAAAATATGAAACCCATTTTTATTGAAGATATAAGATATAAACTTTCTTTAAAGGGACAATTTCTGAATGCTTTCTGCTAGTGTCAGAGTGAGTTCACAAGGGGCTGGTCAGGCTTGAGAGAGCTGGACTTCACTTCTCTTGGCTCCATTAGCTTTACATAATTTAGCCATCACAGCCTGGATGGATGAACAGTGAGAGGAGCTGGGCTGGTAATAGGCAAAAAGAATGGCTTACAAAAAAGGCAGAAAAAGGCTTCTCTCTCAAGACCCAAAATGTAAGCTCCAAGTAAAATGAAAACAAATTGATTACCAGGGGCAGTGGTGAGCGCTTTAAATAACTCTGAGTTGCTAAACTGGGGTAGGTCAGGTTGACACAGTGGGAGTATCTGATGGGGGGCGCACAGGTGTTGTAAGTTGAGCACTTTAGTGTGTGATTATGCCTCTGTGGTAATTGCACCACTGCATACCTCCACCTGACCCCTGAATGTAGGTCCTCTTCTTCTAGGCCAAGTAGCAGCCATTAATAGAGACTAGGACAGGGCATTTGAGGTAGGCATGGATCCTGACTACTCACAACTGTATGCAAAATGGATCCGCTGTTCTGACAGGGTCAATTAGGAACAAAGGGAAAATGGATGAAAGAAAATCAGCAGGGATACATGTGCTACATACTAGATCAGAATCACTATATCACCACCAACACTGTGTTATTTTTAGTTTGACTTTTATTGGCTTATTCACCATTAATTAACTATTAAAAAAGACATAAATAGAAAAACTCTATTTGTCATACATCAAACAAAGTCTGTGTTGAAAGAGTAAATGATATTTTGTCTCACCCTGGGGGCAAGTGAAGCTTGGCTGCTTTGGTGCAGGAAGTCTTGATAGTGAGAAGGGGGAGCTGACTCTGCAGATTCTTCCATGAATATGGCTGGACCATTAGTACTGCAGAACTGAACTGTACTCCTTTCCCTAGAAGATCGTTTACAACAAAAAGACTATCGTAGTATGGTTCTGCCATTAGATTAGAAATATATGGATATCAATGTAAAGTGTAACATTTACTTAGAATTAGCGCCATGATATTATTTTTTTACTATTATTAAATAAGTACTGTATTCAAAACCGTGACGACAACCAAACATGAATCCCTTATTCACTTTCATCATTCCTCCTGAAACGGGCTCAAAACAGTCACATTAAAAGTGCTTTATATTTAGGTGTATTTTTGTATTATAGATTTCATTAAAAAGGGTCAACTTTGATTTTAAAGTTGTCACAATTTTTTATTATGAATATATTGTGATCTGAATAAACAGGATTATTGATTAAATTTATACATATAACATAAAAATGTCAAACCAAAACAAATCAAACTTTATTTATAGAGCGCTTTTCATAGAAAAATACAACACAAAGCACTTGTGTGTTATATGTATTAATGTTATTAAAGTTGTGTTGTTTCTGTTCAGTGTTACTATGTTTTTTTATGCATTAGGTAAACTTACTGCCCTGCACTGAGTCAGACCAGATGAGGAGAGCAGAGAGGCTGATGAAGATCTGAGAGGCTTGCAGACTATCCACACACAGGTAGTGAATGCCCCTCACCTCCACACACTGCGAGGGAACAGACAAACAGCACAGTGTCCTCAGTTATCAGTGTGAGAGCAGACTATGGACAAGTGCAGCAGAGAAAGAACAGAGCCAGGGGGAGGCTGGGGTGATGGATCTGCTGATAGGAGAGCTCAAAAAGAAGCTAGAGGAACATTTAAAGTAGGCATGAATAGAAAGATATAATATGTGGCAAGCTATCTGAAGTTCAACAATAGTGGAAAGGGCCAGAGACAGGATTATGATAAAAATAGTTTAAATATATCCAAAGTCACTATGTTGAGATCTACAAGGAGCATTAACATATACTTAATTTACAATGAACAAATATGATTTAGATTTACTAAGTATTTAGTTGATATACAAGCTCTGACTCCTAATGTTAACCTTTAAAGTAGTTACTAAGTTTGAATCATTGTTAAAGGTTCTATATCACATTTAATTGACTCTTGTGAGCTTTAAGCCATGTTAGAATTTTGTTGTATCATCAAAAACATGCCTGGAGTTATGTTCTGTTTCATTCACACATGTTAAAACTTTATCATTAGTCTATCATCTCCAAAGCTTAAAATGCTCTGTTATCCTTTACCTTTTGTTCAGCAGAGATTGTAAATTCTGAAATTATCCAAATGATTCTAGCGAAGAATCACAAGATAGGATTGAGTGACCTCAGACTAAATATGCAGAATTTGTTTGTTAAACATGTGTAAATGAAACAAAACACAACTCCAGGTACATTTGTGATTATAACATAGATCAGAAAAAAGCAGAATTTGGTCTTCGCTCATAAGGAATTAAGTCTTTGTTCATGATTTATTAGAGCTAATCAAGGTGTAGTTAAAAACTCTAGAGCTGTTTGTAAGACCAAGTTATACAAATAAGATTTTCAAATAGGAACAGTGCCAAAGTTCCAGCAGTCTCTCCTGATTGGGTGATTGGGCTTTATTTATTTATTAATTTTTTTGTCCTTTGTTCCATTTATCACAAATATAAGTTACATATTGAAGTGTATACCTCAGAGTCAGCTAATGCACAAGCTGCAGACTGGGAAAACAATTTGGGCATCACAGAGGACTGAAAAAAAAAAAATTGTATTAAGATACCTTTCAAAAATAATACAAGAACATCATTGTTTGTCAAATTGTTATGTACCAGAAAGTGACATTTGTAGAATTGGTGTGGGTAGTTTTGTGGTTTATGAAACACGATCATATTTCTGTAAACAAAAAAGAGACAACTGACATTAAAAAGAGAATCTAATATAAGAAAAATCTGCCAAGCTGTCAGGTGTGAAGGTACTTCTTACTGAAAACATGATGGGAAGTCTTCTAGTTCCACCCAGGTCTCAGTCAGGACAGGTTTGACAGGAGCACATGGTTCCAGAGGGGTTTGTGGCTGGTCCTTGGCGGATGTAAGACGATCTATTTAAAGGTACATTGTGGAATATTGTTGATTAGGTTAGCACACTAAACTTTATGCTCCAATGGGAATCTAAAGAACAAAACGTCGTTCATATCTCCATACCAAAGACAGGATACCAGCCATTGAAAAAGGTTGGTTTCAAATTTTAAATGAAATGAAAATGGAAATCTAGTATAAAAAGAAAGTATAAAAAATCTTGAAGTGAAGCAATTAAGGCTGCAGTCCTTTAGTCCTTTACTTCATTAATCAGTTGCTAGTGTCTTAGTCAACCAAAAATGTTAGCTCATTAGTAGACTAATTATTATTATATATATAGTCAGTTGGCTGAAAATTTTGAAGTGCATCATATGTTTAAAGTTGTTTTTTTTTTCATATCAGTACGCAGTACTTTCCTGTATAAAAAGTTGTTTTTGCATGAACTCCAGTGCACTTGTGTCTTGTGAATGCAGTATTAGTCAGATAAATGATGAGATCATAGAGATATATAATAGTTAGTGATTTTTGGCCATGCCCCATTTTTAGTCTTCAATTGTCAAGACATGCTTTTAGTCAACCACAATTTTTTTAGCCAACTACAGCCATCAGTCAGACACATTTAAGGGTCTTTAAGTGACAAAAAGCACTATATACATACATTATTATTACCTCTTTAAGTCCATATATGCTACAAAGAAACCGAAAGCCTTTCCTCTGTGACTCATCATAAGTTATGTTAGACTGAGATCATTATCTTAAACACAGTAAGTTGAATTGGCCTAACTCCCACATAATGGCACAGTCTAAGCGCACACACGCACATCCTTCCTCCCACTCGCAGAGGCTCTCCATCTCCATACACGTCCACACACATTCACAAAGACGATGCCCAAAACCACACGCGCGCGGGCACACCAAGAGAAAGTTCTGCCCCCGAGCTTGACTCAAAGAGCTGATCAGAAAGCAGAAGCCGCGGGGGCCAGTGTCTGCTGAGCCACGGTGGCCGGTTGAGTTGAGCTGCAGGTGTTACTAAGCAACTAAACGGGGGCAGAGAGAAGGCAGACGATTGGACGCATGTAATAAAGCATATTCATAATTTCAGTTCAGTTTTCTTCGGATAGTCTTGGCAAAAAAAATGAAGGAAAATAACAAAAACACAGGTAGTAGAGGTGTGAAATGCAAATTCTTCTAATCACGTCAATTAAAGGTGCACCAAGCAACTTTTATAGTGGAGGGCCCATCACCAGCTTGTCTTCACAGAGATTGTATTGCTCTGCTTGGAATGTTCCTCAATGTGGCAGCAAACTTATCTATCTATATCTTCTTGGAGATAAGAAAATTATGCCACAAAGCCAAGATACAGGTCTGAGCAATAAAAACACTGGTAATTTAATAAAGGCAAAATACAATGTTTATCCCTACACTGAGGAACTTTCCAGATAAAGCAAGGTTCAAAGTTCAAGGTTCAAGGTTCAAGGTTCAAGGTTCTTTATTCGTCATTCAAGCATGCGAGAGAAACACATGACAGAACGAAATGTGCTCCCCGAGGCCCAGTGATCCAGAGAGAGATAAAAACAATAATAAATAAGCAATATTTAAAAAGTAAGTAGATCAAAACAACAACATTTAGCAATAATATCTCTGTTAAAAAAAATTATTTTGGTGTTTAACTGAGTGCTCTCACTGCCAGCTCAGTCCTTGTTATCTTAGCCTGCGTCATCAGTCATACTCTCTACACCAGAAGCACAGCCAAACCTGGACTGTACTAGACTAGAATGAACAGTATCACAATGTGTTGAGAGTTCATTTCTCCAGGTGCTGGAGTTCTAGCCTACGTTAGAACATCAGCGTCATGCCTCTTCTTTGGGCTACTCCAATTTTTCTACAACAATCTCCATCAAGACAAGCAGATGGATGACACGCCATCAGAAAGTTGCATAGTGCAAGTATTGATAGACAAAGTACTAAAGCATGCAGATCTTGAATTTCTTCAGGCTCAATAGTAAAATGTCCAACTTATCTTTTGTAATACTAGTATACACTGAAGAGGCTTTTAAGGAGAATTGCATATACACAGTGTATAAGATGGTGGTTTGATTGGTGAGTTTTTAATAGTATTAATTGAAGTTTACTCCACAGAGATCAATAATGGACCATGACATACATTTTTCATTTCAGCCATAACTGGATTAGTGAGCAACTGCTTATTCTACTACTCCAGTGTTTAGATATTTTGTACTCTGTTTGGGTGTTTCATTACAGACAAAAGTAGGTACAAAATAGCTCAAACCACTGCAGACGTCTTCATTGTCCTTATTCTTCTCCTCTGCACTGACCTAAAGAGAGAAAAGAGACAGTGTATGGATCATTTGTGGTTGAATAACACAAAAACTCTTTGGCTCTTTGTGATTTGAAACCAGCTGTGGTGCCAAACAGTTAGCACCAAAACATCACCAGATAGCACCCATGGCTACGTGTGACCAGGCTAGTTCCTCGTCGGCTAAAACCACCAACAGGGAATAACAGCTTTAATTTATCCCAAGTGACAGATGAGGAGCTATTAGCTTGTTTAGCATATAGTTTGTCTGCCAGAGAAATTACTCAACAGCTCACATTTCATTTGGACACACAATCAAAAAATACAAGTAGCTAATCATGGATCATTATTAAGTCTTCTCAGTCCAGAACAAACTCTCACTCACATGGCGGATGCATTTTAATAGATGAGATTTAATGTCATTTCTTTGTAAAATGATGAAGTATCATCAAAATGGCAATAATCCTTCAGTACGTTCCCAGCAGACACTGATGAGTCAATGTGGATTTTGCAGTGAGTCACATTTATTTGAATAAGTACTCAGACAGAAGGCATTGTGATTGGAAGCCTTTTGAGTTCTTCTCCAACAAAAACAAGCCAGAAGATCATTTTAAACCAGTAGTGATTGTGTATATATTTAGGCAGATTTTTTTCCCCCATTGGCTGTTGTAAATGTATGTCACTGGGATGCTAACTAGACTTTTAGCAGTGCTGACACCAAAAACATGGCAGGACATGAGAGATTTAGTGATTAGCACATTCCAGGAATATCTGAGATTAAAACTGAGCTCATGGTTTTACTCACACTTAAGTTGAGCTGGGAGTATGAAGGACATCATGTGATACTACCTTCTTTGTCCCAGAGGCTAGGCAAAAGAGTTCATTCAACCAAATGGGAATGACAGGGGCAGTGCAAAATATAGCAAAAAGCCTTGTGCCTTGACGCAAAGCCTCTACTCCATGTGACCCGGGATATGCTCGTGCTAGCATGTGCACAGTGTAGCGTACATGCGCAAAACACACACATCAAACGACACATCAAATTAGAGTGTCCACACTGCCCTAGCCCAAGCGCTTTATAACTGGTCACAGTTACACAAGAGGGCGATTAATATGAACTGCATATTTCTCTGCAGGCTCGGGGAGAAGTGTAATAATGAAGGCCCCAGGAGACACAGACGCTGATGGCTCACCGTCTAATTGCAAAGCTTTTTTCATCATCACAGAACATGACCTCCCCGTGAATGAAACCCATATGCCCACAACTATGACCACACCACTCATACTCTGCTTTTGTCTGGTTTGGTTGATCTCTAGCACTGCTGTTGTGTTCATTTATAAATATCCAATTCATTTCAGTCAGACACAGTTAGCGTGTGTGTCTGCAGGCTGAGTACTCTAGCCCACCCCTCATCAGCCGTGCCCTCACTGGTTCTGTGTTTAGCACAGATGTGCCCCTGGTCAGCAGTGGCCTGGCTCAGAGACAACAGCAGTGACTTTGAGGCTGGGGGATGGCGGCCGTGTTGTCACTGACACACATAACTACTGTGACAAGCCTTAGACTGCACATATCCACGTGAGACTCAACAGCCACTGACAGATATGATAGCAGCCTAAGCAGAGCTAATGAATGAATAATGTCTGTCAGATATTTCAAGATTATATATTTATATTATTTCAATATTTACATAAATGATTATTCAGACATAGCTTTGGGTTACTATATTTTACAAATAAAAACACGTTGGATATGAAAACATTAATTAGCACATGTCCCGAAGAGACCCATTCTCCATATCCTGTATGTACCTCTGTGTCCATGTTGTGTGGAGAGTTAGTGGTGCGTTGAGGCACATCAGGCTCGGGGCCTTCTCTGCACCCAGCCTCCTCGCTCTCAGCAATGGACACCAGAGGGGTTTCATAGGAGCGCCTGCCCTGAGCGCTCTGACCCTGTCTTCTGTGCCTGCCACAGAGATACACACTGTCAGCTACCATGCTGCACTATATGCACCACATACACTGAACACTGCACACAGATAGAACATGACATATAGGCCACCAGACAGAAACCAAGAAAAGATCAGATTAAAAGAATGGAGGAAGACAAACAAAACAAGCACGGGGGTTACATTTCCGATGGAGGGCTGCCCTTGATGCCGAACTGCAGGAACAGACTGGCAACTTCAATGAACAGCTCTGGTTTTGACAAAGAGAACTCTGCAGAAAAATAAATACAACACCTTCCTGAGTACACTTTGGCTCCCAATTTCTACAGTGAGATCAGCAGGTGCCAGATATGCCCGAGCCAGCAGCTATTTGCAGTTTTGCACTGGCCCACCATCTCCTGCTTTTCTCATTTTAGGCAAGAGCCCTGTGTGCCCTCTGTGCGCCAGCTTCCACTTCTCTAACATTAGCCTCTCTTCCAGCTCATATTTATTTATGACTTTCACCTACACAAATCACCTACATCAGAACATATGTACTGTTCTATTCACCCCTCAGCCTCCATAAGCCAAATGTTTAGTTTAACATTTCCAGATGTTTTTCACCACATTTTGGATTATTATTGCAGGACTTGTAGGTTTGGACTTACTTTGAGGTTCATCTGAAATCACAATCTCTTTGCGAGGGCGGATCAGTTTCCAGCGGGGCACAGGGGGAGGTTTTGGGGGTGGTTCCAGCGGACAATCTCTAGTTCTGGTCAATAACACAATATGGCTGTACATTAAAGATAGGCCATACTGACGCAGCACTGCAGAAGATTTTGCCTGCAGAGCCACAAAGACAAACAAGAACATTAAGTTAGCTTACACATTCTGTATGTTTTACAACTAAAGGTTCACTATGTAACTTTTCTAGGTATATCATGACTTTGCCCAGAATGTTTCACACTGTTTGGCTTTAGACTTATGTAACTTTAATTTATTGATTCATGGTTTAATTTATGCTAAAACATTATTTCTTATTGTGCGTGGTTGCAACTCCACAGATCTGACCTGTAACATGCCCAGGTGGTGCTTGGAGTTAATGTCATAATATTTCAATAACAATATTTCATGATTTTTCTGATTTCAAATTATGTCATGGTTTGAGATGTAGTTTGGTCAGTAATTCCACATGTATTGTACCACAAGATGACATGGCAAATTACCCATGAAACACAGTAAACTGAAAGACACCCCTCTCCTCTAGTTTGAGCTTGAAAGTGCTTAAATAATGAACCATGGGAAAGCTGTTGGGGAAACCCATCCAAATAGAACACAACATGCCTCCAGATCACATGCACTGTAAACTGCACAGTCTCTAGTGAAATATCCTAATACATAAAACAGAAGAAGAAGCCGAGAGCAGTGAAACATCTTCACTCCAAAAAAAACGTTTGTCCAGTTGACAGAATTTCACTTTTGCTATATGTATGAGGACATTTCAATCTGTTTTTACTGGCTATATCTGTAAAAGTAGTACAACACATACCATTTGCCCATATTCTGATGACATTTTGTGCATACTGAAGGGGTAAAAGCCAGCACACACCAAATCATCAGGGAGCCCTGAAAAAACATAAAAACACAAACATGAAATCTATTTTGAATGGAATTATGGTGTGTAATTTTTTTATTTTTATTTTTTTTACATCTTCACAAATACATACAAATAACATATATGCGTTCTTAAAATTTGGCAGTCGATCTTTCACCTTTGAGTGGTATAACTACAGCTATAAGCCCCTATCAAGGTTATCTAAGAGATCTCCCCCTATAGTATGTCATATATGGAGCACATAGGCTAGGAGACATGGAAAATCAATTTGTAGGAATGTGCACACAGTAAATGGCTGCGCTGCCTGGGAAATATAAAGGCTACACATTAAGAATTGAACACAAAAGTGGTTCCTTGCTCTGCGCTCTGATTTATGCGTTTGGTTTATAGATTTCATTGGTAGAAACAATGGGAGGAGGAATCTAAGTATGTACATAGAACCCTACATCACCAGTGCATCTCCCTAAAGCACTAGGCATTATGTGTGCATGTCATCACATTATGCTAATCTCTAACACTTTAATTACTGTAAACAAGCAAGAACTGTAGATAGGAGCAAACCACTGTGCAAACCTATATTAAATAGGTTAATATAATAGCAATGTAGTTAAATAGCATCAAACCAAATTGTAAATGAAATAACTATAGCAACAGTGACCTCAGGAAACACTGTGCCCGTATTTAAGGACACTTCTTCATCAGATAAGTGGGATGCTTCTTTTGCCCTGCGGGGACGCCAAATAATTCACCTCACCACGGCTCTCCCTGCTGTTTTTTTTTATTGTCCACTGTATATGCAATACACTTCAATGTGCCTTGTGAAGCATGAGTGAATAATCAGGCACCCATTAAACAGGGATGACAGTTTGACATAATGTGTGTGTTTGGTTAATCTTTATAATGTCACTTACATGTCCAGGATAAGTGTGGGCAAATTGAATGAGGTTTGACAATAAAATATTCATTCTTGCTCCACACAAACTGAATTATGGATAGAGTAGGAAAATATAGATTTACTACTACAGTACTGACATTTTAAGAGTCATTATGTGATTTCCAAATAGATCCCCTGTGTTTAACTGCCCTATATTATGTCAACTTTTTTGAGCATTTAAATGTGACAGTCTTGGTCCCATGTCATACTGAAGATGTGTTTGGTTTAATTCAAGCAAGTAATCTGTATCCTATCCTATTTATTCCCTTTCAAAGCTTAGAACACACCAGATGATTATTTTTAGCCTTATTAAACTACTACAGCATTAGCTAGAAATAATGTTGTATTGTACTCACAGAAATGAGGAAATGATTTGTTTGATATTACTATTTTAAATTAAAACATGAACTCAGAAGTCTGCATTATACAAATGTAGTTTAAAAGTTTCCAAAATATACAGTTTAGCCCCATTATTAAAGACAATTTGCAAAAGGAGTGATTACAGCCTAATAGATGCATGATTTAATTGACTCACCCAATTAAACATGCAAGCAGTGTGCCTAATTACAAGTTATGTTTAGACTAATGCATAATGGTTTGTGTGCTTGTAAGCGCTTTACTTTTCTCACTCTTCTGGCTGTTTGCTTCTTTCAGACTGCAGTCCTTCAGAACAGATGAAGCTGCTGTTGGAGGTCTGGACTCTTCTTCACTCTCATCTGGGTAACTGTACGTGAGCAGTGTGCCTCGAAGAAAATCCCACGTTTGGTCCAGACCTGTAAATCTATAAGTGGGAAACAGGGGATAGGTTCAGCAGTTAAAGTTTGATATCTGGCACAGCTTTTACCCAAACATACTATATGTAGAGACTGTGAGTGAATGTAAAAAACTTATCACCAAAGCAGCATTTGTATGTTGTAGAGAGACTGGGATAACATTGTCATACTTTGGATTTTCAGTTTACCTAGTGTTAAATAAATAAAAGCTGTAAGATGTGTAAAACTATATTTAGGGTTTATTAAGACACATCTATATTTATATAGTTTTTGTTATTGCGCAAAGTGATATATCTTGCCCAAGCTTTATTCGTGGGTTTCAGATTCCTGTTATATGCAACTTTTTTTTTTTTTTGCAACATTTTAAGGACTTTTTCACATTCAAAAGACTGATTCACTTTTGAATTGTTAATCTCTAAGACAATGGTCCTAATTTCTAATAATTCTGAAACCCATAGATAGTGTGATCAATGTTCTTGGGTGTTTCTGCCTCCCAAAATCTCTATTTTTATATAATCTTGATAAAAATAATCAAAATATTCCTCTATCCATCAGTTGTGGGTTTCTTATTATGCGCTACACATCATCACTTGGGATATTGTTAAAACAAGATAGATTTAATAGAAAATCCTCCATTTTGAACTGGGAGAACTTAAAAACAAAAGTTTTCAAAGTCTATTGCACTATCTCACTGTGAAAGCCCTGAAACAAAACGGCCCTTGCTTGGACTGTATTGTACCTACCTATCACCCATAATTGCTGAGGTTTCTTTAAAAACACCTCTCATAGTTTCTTTATAAATATTAATCTGCAAACATATCCTTATTTGACTGCCTAAGTGAGCAGAGAGAGAGTCTAACATGAATCAACGTGAAACCCAAATAGACATGAGTGGGGCGACTGCATGTGTTGATAGATTCCCCAGGCTGCCAGATAACAGCGCCTAACCTGCTGAGCTACACAAAATTACACTCCCCGACTCTCCAGCACAACACTGTTGCCCCATTAATGCTGCATCTCTGACAAGCTGAGAATCCCCACTTTGTGCAGCCTATCCAACCATATTGTCTACCTGTCATAGACTTGCTGCGATGTTGGCAAACTGACTTCAGATGAAAATGGCAAGAGTTAACTCTTATCTATTTATAAATATGGCTTAATATTAGATAAAATGAAAAATGAAAACTAAAAATAACTGGCTAACTGTATCTAAATCATAAGCAAGTTTTTTTTTTTTTTTTGTAGTGCAGCACTTTGATTTTTCAAAGTTGATCTACAGAACTGTTGCTGCTAATGTGCAACAGCCTCCTGCCAGCAGCAGTTAGGCTGTTTAATCAGACTCTGATTGGACTCTATATGACTTTTACTACATCTACTGTTGCACTCAATGTGATGGTAGTGTGAAACACAATTTGGTTTTAATGCAACATAAAAATGATAAATAAACTACTTTAATCTAAAGTTAAACCACAGCAAAATTACAAGGTAATGTATATATTGTGATGGAGGGCACGTAACCTGCTTGCCCCCTGTATGTTTGACCATGGTTTAAAACTTACTCATCTTGCTTTTTTGCTTATATCTTGGAAAAAACATGCATTCTAACTGTGAGCAGGGTCTCCTTTCCACAGATTTGACCTGGTGGCCTCACCTGCTTTTCTCCATGGAGATAGACAAGTTCAGTGCTATACTGTGGAACATTCCAGGCAAAGTGTCTCCATGGAGACATGCAGGTGGCACACTCTCCAAAAGAAAAGTTACAGAGTGCTCCTTTAAATTATGATGTGGCTTTATTTTTGCAATACTGAATATTTATATTGTTGTAATTTATATTCATAAATAAAAATAACACGTGTCATCTTGCACTTCCGTGTAATCACAATGACAAACTTACTTGATTGGACTGATTTCTGGGACCCATCCAGTGAGTGCAGGTATAAAGGTGAATTCTCCCACTTCTCCACTAGTCTCTGAACGAGGACTACAGAATAAAAATAAATGAATGCAAATTTTCAAATGTAATTATAGCAAAAAATACATACTTGGTAATAATTTCTCAAGTGAAATTGAAGGGTTACAGTGTGTACTTGTAAACAATGTGCTCAAGTAGTTTTATACTCTATGAGAATCTGGTTTCTAGGCAACTGACACAGATGAATAGGAAATTATACTCTTTTCAGAGCCATGTATTAAAACCACAATGTGATTTTAGGCAAGAAGTTGTATTAGAAGTGACTATGATGAGGAAAATGTCAAAGACAAAAGCAAGTCAGTGTAACATTTAGCCTTAAAAATAGTTCCATATTACATATTTTCATGCTTTTTTTTTTTTAAGTTTTAAGTTTTTAAGAGGGCCGTCTGGGATATAACTTGCCCAGTTTACTGTTATGGAACCCAAATCAATAGTGGTGTAGTGAACACACTCCAAGGACAACAGTAAAGAAATCTACAAGTAGCTTAGAAATTCAAAAGCTCCTCAACAGACACCTGGGCAAAGTTAACATCGTGTGAAGAATTTTGAAGACAGACAATGCATGATTTATGATGGTGGGCTCCTTTGTTTCCTGTCCAGGATGAAACTTTAATGTCTGATCCCGTTGTGCGGACGCAGGAACAGCCACCTTTCTGCCCATTATGTTGCCCCATCACAGACCTGTACATTCCTGTCTGTCAACAAGAGCCATGGAGACATCAGGGCAGACGAAGGTGATGCAAGTCAACAAACGTACTCAGTGGGATAGACTGTGTAGTGTAATGTACTTGTGGAGATTGCAAGTCCTAATAAAGAGTTTTTTTCAATGTTAGGAAAAAGTTAGGAAATAAGTGGTTCCCAAATCATATCAAGAGATCGATTATTAGGTGTTATTGGGTGATTTCACATAAGGGTTGTCAATAAAAAGATATCCAAATATTAATACTAAAATAGTATAGAAACAGACAGTCATTTGAAATAAGTATTGATACCATTTTTTTTTTTACATAAATCAGACTAAACTGAACCTTTCCTGAATAGATGTAGAATTAGAGATGCACCTTTCTAGTTTTTTCATATCAGTTCCAATACAGATCTTGTTACTGTAGCATTAAGTATCTGACGATACCTGATATTAACCGATGTCAGTGCAAAGACTGAAAATTGCATTTATTTCCTTTATACAAAAATAAATTAAGACCGAACTGATTTAAATGTGTTTAACAGTTGTTATTTATCTCTTATGTAACTACTGAACAACATTTTATAAATATAAATTAAAACATTATGAGACTCTCTGGGCCAACTATAACCAGTAAATAGTGGATATAAAAGGCTGATATCTGATCCAGCTATTTTTTTTTCAGTATCAGTGCAGATATCCATTACCATAATCGGATCGGAGCATCCCTATTTCGAATGGACTGGCTCTATATCAGGACTAGTGTAACGCTGCATGATGCCATTAAAGAAACTATTATAATTTTGTGTTGAAAATTGCATTCTATTTTCTAAAATGGTATTTAGCCTTTCCTTAGTATCAAAACACTGTCGGAAGATGAAAACAAAATGACCTTGTCTGATATTACATTTCAATAAAATAAAGACCCCAGTTTTCATTCATGTAATAGTTTCATTTTTCCCTCCAACCATTATAAATTAGTCTTGGCCTCTGTCCAAACCTTTTTGAAATATGTGTCGGCCATCACATTTTGGAAGCGTTTCAAAGTGACAAAGTTGCTACCGTTCTACTGAAAATTCTGAAGGTTTTTATAAGCTAGTGTGTGTTGAGATATTTTTATATTCATTTGCACCTTATATGTGAGAACAGAGAAATTATCTTGGTAGTTTTAGAGTCTAGAACTTAAAGGTCCTATATAATGCAAAATTGACTCTTGTGAGCTTTTATCCATGATATAATTCTGTTACCTCATCAAAAACATATCATTCACACATGTTTACGTAATCCTTTACATCTCTAATGTTCAAAATGTTTTGTTCCACCTTGTAATGTCATATAGTGATATTTTTCAAGTGAACAGCTACTTTTTGGAAATTCCAGGACAGAAGTCATCCAAATGATTCTAGTGAAGGTGTATAGAGTTTTAAGGAGCACTTCCTGTATTACCACATGACATCACAATGTGGAGTGTTTTCTGCTCGAGAGAAGAAGTCAGTCTAACTATTCAGGGTTTGTGTTTTAAACACACGTGAATGAAACAAAACACAACTCCATGTTTGTGATGAGGAAACAATATTTTAACATACAGATCAGAAAATAGCATAATGTGGAGCCTTTAAAAATAAAATATACTTACTTTATGTTAGCCAGTTTAATCAGGGCTTTGGATAACAGCATTGGCCAGAGTTCTGATGGACATGTGGAGGCAGGGAGCAGCAGCTTATTGCCTTCATCAAAAGGCATTGAATCATCCACCGTTACCCTCCTCCAACAGCCCTGGAACAGAAAAATAATGTCTGTGAAACATTGCAAATTGGATTTAATTGAATGTTCTGGTGAGGTTAGACAACAACAAAAGATAATTGCTAAAAATTAAAAGATGATTCGTTTGATTTATTATTAAACTATTTCTTTGTGTAGACTTGAGGAAAAGAGTATGAAATGTGTTCTGAGACTGTAGTGGCACAAGAAACAGCTAGTAACCAGATTTATCCTCATCTGATGGGGTTAATTGTAGTGAACTGTGCTCTAGCCAGCTGGAGGTCACATGACAGGAACTACAAAACCCACAGTAATAGTACAAGACAGTGCTGGGTATTGACTTAATGTTATACAATTCTATGTGACAATCTGTTTACAATTACCTAATTCTTCAATGAAATCTTGCATGAGTTCTTTAATATAAGCATCTTCTTTCACTTTATACCAGCTTTTCTTTTCAGTGTCTATAACAGACAAAATATTAGTGCCCATAACTTCCAGTCTTAGCTTCTAATATTTGATGTAAGTGCGTGATCTAAGTGGTCATACGCCCTGTCACAGAGCTTGTTGGTAGGGCAATGCTAGCGAATCTTTTCACATCTGTACTTTGTTTATCTATCAAAGCCATGCACTAAAGCTAGTCTGAAAACTCAATCTCTTTATTGTTAGTCTTTCAGTAAGTTGTCAAAGCGTCATATTTGCAGAGCTGGGACTGTTTGCATGAGGGGTGAAACTCCAAAAATGTGCTCTGGGAGAAGGCATGACAGATCAAAAAGGATGAATATAGCAGAATTTTTATGATCAAAGTACAATTATGAATAATACAAGATGGAGGAACAATGAAGGATCAGAGGGACAAAGCCTATTGGCATGAAACACAAAAGGGGGTTGGGGCTTGGACGCTTAGTGCCATCTCTGTAGCCATCTGTTAGCGTGCTATGGTTGGCATGAGGAGGATTGCTGCTTACAGTCATGTCATGCTAGATTTTCAAGGCAAGACTGATGGTATATTCAATTATGGACAGTGATGGGAAGAATACTTTGAATATGTAATTAGTTACAGAATACTGAATACCTACATTAAAATGTCTTTTGTAATGTATTCTGATACATGGTCTAATCAAAGTAATGTATTCTGAATACTTGAGATACTTTTACTTCAAGTTGCATTATATTATGGTGTAAAAGCAGAACATATAATTACAACAACATTTTAATATTATGAATTAATGCATGTCTAATTTGAGACAAAAAAAAATCACATATAAAGGCATTCCAAGAGCTCTGTTTTCTTTTTTTCTCACTATTACCATGCACTTCAAAGCCATGTATTCATTTTAATTTAGGAAAGTAACTTTATTCTGAATACCACAAAATGAAAAAGTAAGTGTATTCTGATACAGTTACTTTTCAAAAAAATTCTTCCCAACTCTTAATACAGACTCAATATTACCAAGAGAAGAATCCTTTTTCCCCCCTTTTTGAACAAACTGGTGCATTGTATTGTGCTAAAATACTTAAGAGCATCTACTTCTAACACAGCTATCCACTTGAAGATGTAAAAAGCAGCTGACTGCAGATAAGCCTTATCTACTCATCAGGATACATATGAAGTCTAAGTACTTTGGGGAGCGGCAGACTGAGACGGTATGATTTGAGCTCTTCGTGGATAAGGATTTCTCTTCCCTCCCCCTCCTCCTCCTGCCCTCAGTCTGTGTGCTATGCTCTGCTGTCTCTGTGCTGAGAAGGAGAACTGCCTGGTGTCATTGATTGTAATCTTTGGGGAAAGGGAAGATTGGGCACATGATGACAATGAAAAAAGTGAGGGTCTCAAAATGCTTTTCTCAATTTTCACTTTTCTCAGCATATTGACAATGCATGGATAAAAAGTGGAAAGTATGAATGTCCCAAGATGGCATTGGTCAAAATGATGCCTATTTTAGACACTTCTAAATGTTTTTCTCCCTTTCTGAGAGTTGTAACAGCAAATCTACAAACTTAGAAGGCACACTGCTCTACAAACTTGCGTAACAGCTACAGTCTTTGTTAACACTAAGAATTATCAGTTTGAGTTTCAAGTTATCCATGTTTCATCAACCATGGTGAATTGGAATATTTATTGTAGCTAAACAAGTGCATCATTACACTCCATTATGACATATGTTGCCCGCAACTGTACTGGTAGTACCTAGTTTATAGGTCCACAAATATGACAGATCTTTTCATATGCATTTCAGTTATTAGACCACATGAAATAATAATAATGTGATTATACTCCTGTCTCTTTCTCACCTTGTACATACAAGTGTCTTGATTCTAAATGTATGTTAAAAGAGAAAAGAGAAGGGCCTACCATCCAGTAGAGTCTGACCACATATTTGCCGTAGTTATTGTAGAGTGGCACATGACCCTTTACGACCTTGCAGAGTGAGTAGATGTGCTCCCAGGGCTTCCATGTGCACTGCTCAGGAGACGTACTCTTACAGTGGGCCCAGAGGATATAGATCTCACTGATGATCCATCTGATCAGCTTCATAAAAATAAAACCAGTCATTATGAGGATTCTCATAACAGAACACTGCATCTTTTGGCTTAACTCTCCTATTGTCCGGAACATTAATCAATCATTCGGTCAATCAGCACTGAATTACCAATGGCCATTCATTTGTGTCCATCAACTGTGATGAGCAAATTACTCTACTCAAGTCTGAAGAGAACCCAGTGGGATCTTGATAAATAATACAAAACCAACCTCACTGCACATCAAATGGTCATTGGAGGAGAGCAGGTCAAAGGTACTTTGATTTTCAATCACAACTGGCGTCTAAAAGAAAATATGTAATTGTAACTGTAATATGCAGATCTCATATACAAAATAATGACAGGGTAGGATGCTGAATGGTGCTTTTATAAAACAAAAATAAACAAATAAACAAACTGTTTACCTTGGTATTGTTTGTAATGAACTCGTTGGGTCTCTTCCATGAATGCACCTTGAGAACCGTGGGTAAGGCAACTTTACCTTCGGGATCTTCAAACATTGGCTTCAAATATATTAACAAAAACACATAAAATTAACATAATGCTAATAATGATATATAATCCATTAAAAATTGCATTTTTTGTAAGCCAGTTAAATGTCTACACTTTTACATGCATATGTGCATTAGATCCTTTTGATGTTTTTCCTTCCTCGGGTTTACTAAAGTCCCACTTTTCCTTGTTGATTTCTGCTTCGTTCCATTCAGGCCAAATGGGGAATTTACTTTTCCATGAGCTCCCTAAACTCTCCATGGATGCGAAAGCGACTGCGGAGCCTCCACTGAACACAACAGCACAGTTAACATGACATGCTAGCTCGCTAGTGCCACTTATTGACATTTTTACACACAACTCACTTTTTTGGATGACGATCAGATAAAGACACTTTGCTGGACGAGGTCTCTCTTTTTCCTTTGGTCTTTGACATATTGACATTGACTTATATCAGCTAACAACAGTGCAAACTAAAAAGATGATCCAGAGAGCCCACACGCGTGCTCGTGTCGCTCTTGTCTTGTGTCGCTGAAAGTTTGCCCGTTGCTAGGCAGCGCAGTGTTTGTGGGCGGGCCTGGAGTCTCATCACTTGTTGCTGTAGTTACCACAACTACAGGAGCTGTGAGGATGTGAAGATCCTCTCCCTGATGAGTTAGACCACCTAATCATCTATTAAGGCCACCGTCTCACACAGAGAACTGTTGAGCACAAAATGGAGTTATCTTGTGTGAAATGCCATTTGATTACAATAAAAACCTTGAGTAAAAAATTTGACTACTTCTAAAAGGCACTGACCAGGCGTCACTTTTTGACATTCTTGGAGTAAGACGAAACGATAAAAGACATACCATAATATTTTATAATTGAAAATTATGCTACCAGAACCATATAATTTACTTTTTCATTTAGTTTTTACATGTCGAGTGAGCTTGAGTGAAGAATAAATATGACATAAAATCCTCATCATGTAAATGGTCAAATGCCTGCTCCCTGTGTCCAGGCCTAGTTTGAGGCAAAGCAGCAATCACATATAGCACACATTATAGCCTATATATTTTATTATGATTACTTACATCATTAGACTAATTTGCCCAGCCAAAAGAAAATGGGCAAATGATGCAGCAGTACACACATCACCCCCCATTACATTCCGGTGTGATAACAACGAGGAGGTCAGAGTCTGATGACTATCACACTGCGTTACTTGAGTGGAGTCACATGGTCATGTCTATCTCACACTGGCTGAGTTGTGCTGCTACATGCAGCTTTACAAAAGTAGCCTACAAAAGAAGCCTATGTTAGGCTATTTCTGAAATGTATTAAAAATAAAAGTAAAGCCATTGAAAACTAAAACCACATCTAATCCAAATTGTAGTGTTTTGCTCAGCCATTGTTCATTGACAAAATTCATTTTTTCAACCCCATAACAGATGACAAGCATGTTAAAATGTTTATTTTTATGTTGAAGATTTATAGTATTTTTACATATAATCTTAAGCACACCAATTTTAAATAAAGCCTTCATATCCAATCAAAAAACAGATTCCAATCCCTATGTACAACACAGTGGTTTCCTTATTATTATTTTTTAATATATTACACAATGCAAAAAAAACAAAACAAAAAAAAACACATTATAAAAACACACCAGATGTCCCCATATGTTCACACTGGGAATTCAGTATTGCTTCCAATTGCGTACCTTCAAGTCAATGAAAAAAAATGGCATGAATGTACCCAAAAGGTATATAATTTAAAGGGTTTAGCTCTACCCAAAACATGGTATAAACCCTTAACAGCTCAAGAACATCACTTAAAAGCCCTGTACCTGAGTTTCAGTTCTTCTAATTCAGAAAAAAGCTCTTTGCACAGTGTGAGAAGTGTGAGAATGAGAACATCAAGTATGAACCAAAAAGGGCATGTTGTTGGAAGAGGTACATGTGGAAGCAACTGCCTGGGACTAGTAGTTTCTCCATCACAGTGCAACATAAGAGCTAGAGAAGGGACTAAAACTGAACCTTCCTCACTCAAGGTCCAAAATAAGGTACAAGGCCTTTACATAATGCTCAAAAGCAGTTTCTATTGACATGTGCTGAGACATTAAAAAGGTAAAAGGATCAATTAACTTCTTCACAACATCACAAGGTGAAACAGAGCATTTTGAACTTTGGAGATGTAGACAGTCTAATAATAAAGAATTACTCAAACATGTGTGAATGAAACTAAACACAATTCCAGGTGTGTTTTTGATAAATATTCTAACATGGTTTAAAGTTCACAAGTTCACTTTAAGGTTTTTAGCGAGTGGTTTTGCCTTTTGATTGTGTTTCCATGTTTATAAGTAGAACAGTCTAGAGCATCAGATAATACTAAAGTAGACAACTTCAAATCTGTGTCTGTCAACAGTGTTTGTGGTTTAAAAAATTTCAGAACAAACTGCTGCCTTGTGACCTATAGTTTAAGTTCGAGAGAGACTGCAGTACAGAAATTGCTTCATTGGTGGAGAGAGAGAGAGAGAGCGCCTCCTGATGCGGCGGGTAAAGCGCATTGTTTTGAGTTCCTCTGTGGGTTGGGGAGTTGTGGAGGGGAGGTGCACTGGTTTGGAGTGTGAATAAAATGAATGTCAACAGCAGCCCGATTTGCTCTCAGCGGCCACAGTCTCCTGGTCCAGTTTAATCCGGTCTCCATTGCTCTCCTCGTAGGGCAAGCCTTTGTCATTAGCCAAGATATTCTCCACTAGAAAACGGGCTGCTTCGTCCACATTTATGTTGTCCTATGAGGAAAAAGAAGATGGTCATAGATAATAGTTGATGAAAACCAAATAGCATTTTTATAAAGCATGTTTTATGTAAACTGGCAAGCATAAAGTGAGATTTGCTATTCTGCCCTTCAAACCGTAACTAAGTCTGTTATCTTACACTTTGGCAAAAATAACCCTTTATCCATGGGTTTTAGAGTAGCACTGTTTCCATAGCAATTAACAATTCAAAACACAATTTTATATCCTTTGAATGGTGCCTCAAAATGTCACCTATAAACAGGAAGCTGGAATCCATGAATAGAAAGTGATCCCCACAGTGAAAGTGTGAACAAAAACAAATGTATCCAGCAAATAGTCGCAGAAATAAAAACAAATTCCAACAATTGTTCATGTCACTGAGTCATTACATAAGGAAGGTGAGCTCAAAATTTAAGCTTCATCCCCAATCCTATAACTCATAGAACCCCAGTAATATAACATAGGGGTAACATAACAGTCTCTTGACAGATTGAGTATGAGTAAGAGGCCCCTTGGTTTTATAATCCTTATAATGGGTAGCACATGTAGTCATAAAATGGCTGCCTTAACGGTGACTACACACTTCCACATTTTGTGATTTTGTGACATTTGCATTGGTGATTTTATAGTGGGTTGCATAATCTATCACTATGGTGTCAAATTAACATTTTGCTTGTAATAATATCAGCTAATGAGCATCTACATAAAGTGTCCAGTTTCAGTCAATATGTAGTCAAACAACAGAGAAAAATATGTAATCATGTTTTCAGGGCTTTTTCTCCCCTTTTTTTGTTTCCTATATCTGTTGCAAGAACTTGTGTGGCAGGTTTTATGTTACAGGAAACAAAATACTTGCATCTTACTGTATTCCAAGAACACCCACAGACACTTTCTGTCTGTGGAAGTCTGTGAAATCCTCTTCAGACATTGCTAGTAAATCAAGGTTATGATCAGACACTTCCTGCAGAGACTTCACTTGCACTGATTAATGATTGGCTGAGGTGCTGGGGTTTAAGTAGAGAAGATTCAGATCTGAGAGAGGCATTTCGGGTTTTAACCACCTAGACTTCATTTTTGTGTGGCAGAGAAAGGAGTGGGGCATGGGAGTTTTTTTTTTCTTTGTTAAATATTACAATTAATAATAATAATAATAAAAACTCAACAACTAGACTTAGACATTGGAACTGGCAGCAAAAATAAGACTCCAATTTGGCTTATTCTGTGCTGATTATAGCAGAGTTTTTTAAAGGTGCATTGTGTAACTTTTCTAGTGGATGGTTTGTGCTTTTCTCCTTGGTGATGTTATTGCTTTGTCTGGAATGTTTCACAGTATGGTATTAAACCTTTTGATCTTCATGGAGACCAAACCAGACCAAGATCTGTGGAGAGGCAACCCTGCTCATTGCCTCTTTTTCTATGCATTTTTGAGCTATAAAATCAGTTGTAATTGAATAAATGTAAGGCAGAGCTGTTTAATGTCATATTGTGGAACATTCCAGGCAGTGCAATGACATATTCAAAGAAACAAGCACGTGATGGACCCCCAAACCAAAAAGTTACATAGTGCACCTTAAGTTTTTGTAATTAAGAATAAATCAGCATTAGAATCAAAACTGTACATGTTGTCCCTTTAAGATTTGCACCTCACCTTGGCTGAAGTCTCAAACCAGCCCAGAAAGCCCGTCTCTTTGCAGAAATTGTCCATTAGTGCTGTGTTGTTGGTGATCTCCTTCTTCTGGTCACACTTGTTGGCCAGCAGCACAGATGGAATCGGATTTCCATTGGCCAGTTTCACCTTACTGTCCAAATCGTGCTTCCATTTGGACACAGCCTCGAATGTGGAGCCTCTGGTGATGTCAAAGACCACGAACGCACCCACAGCTTCTTTGTAGTAAACTCTTGTCATGTTACCAAACCGCTCCTGACCTGTGGAGATAGAAATATTCAGTGACATGACAGTTTCATTTTGAACAGAAAATGAGATACAGAAGCTAGAGGGGGTTCATTTATAACTGTGGATTTCGACAATGAGCCTTTTATAGAATGGCACAAGTAATCTTCATACCCATGGCCATTCTCATAAAGTTTGAAATGATTTTGTCCAAAGGAGATATGAACCAGCAGGTGATAAAGTGGAAAAATCAATATTTGAAGGACCAAAATTGACAGCTTGGAACGCTCAGTTTTTTTCTCCACTACACTCAAAAATACGCATTTATATTAGGACTGCACAAGTAATCGAATTAAAATAGCAATTTGAATTAATGTAGTTTCCAAATTGCAAAATTAAGATAATAAATGTCATCTACAGAAACAAAATAACTTCTCTTTATAGAAATATTTTGTACCTGTAGCTTAGACCTTCTTGGATTAGTTTATCATTTACCAAATTATGCCTGTCACAGTAATTACTATTAGTCAGTCTGGCACCACCTAGTGCCTCTGCTCAATTTAATTTCTCTCCTAGGTCAGGAATCAGAATACACTAGACAGTTTGCAAGAACCCCGGAAGTTGTAGACCGTGCACTGACCAATCAGTGTAGAGCTATAAAGCCATGACGCCAAACTCAAGCGCCTGTCTGTGTCCCTTTTGTGGTACAGCACAACAGTAAACAAAGTGGTCAAGATGGATGTAGACAAAGCCATACATTCTGAGTTGGTAACGATTCCCGAGATCGAGGATTTAAAGCCGGAACAAAGATAATGTTTGGTGAAATTTATCAAGGGGAAAGATGTTATTGCCCTTCTTCTTACGGGATTTGGGAAAAGCTTAATAGTTAGCAGTTAGTCCCGTTACAGGCGCATTATACACATCACGACCAAACAGCGGCAATTGGTTAAATAAAAAATTACCCGCCTACCGTCAAGTGAACGAATCCTAATGCTGCGAGGTCAGACGGTTCCCACAAAGTGAAACCAGCTGATAAATCAGGCTAAATTACTATATCTTCTAAGATAAATATATATTGTATGTACATTTTCTTTGCAGTACTGGGAAATGTGTGGTTATTTTTTGGATATATAAGATTTGAGCCATAAAAGGTAAAATTAATAGCTTCTATGACTCAATACTAGTATTTCATTCTGATATTGTAGATTTAGAATAGTTGTGGTTTAATCTGCTCTTGGGTTATTTTGTCAGTTCCATAAATTAGTTTCAGTATTATTTAGCCTCGTTCAAAATTCAGTCTTTCAAAAGTGAATGGTCCTGAAGTAGTTTACAATGTGCACTCTGAACAGAATCCTGCAGATGTAAACACAACTGCAATATACAGCCATTATTTATTTCAATTTTACATAATAATTTTGAGAAAGAAAATGGTCTGTTTAACTTCCTCTTAATATAGTAGTTGTAGCAGAGTTGGGCCCACATGTTTCACATTTTCAGTTGCTGCTTTTGCTTTGGATCTGGTTATGTAACCCTGCATGGGAAAAAGTCTGCAGCCCTTTTTACACAAACATAATTCTAGATGCAAAAAGATATACGCTACACAAATATGTCACACATCATATGATATCAGAAGATCCTGGGCACTCATGCTTGCTGGGAAGGAAGTGAATCCAAAAACAGGATTTAAATGGGCAGGTTGAATCACTGCTGATGACGCACTTTTAATCATGGTCAGATTAAATAGATTTCAACACATCATCTGACATTATGCTTCTTTCATCCAAACTATGACAAATCCCTGGTGGGAAGAAATGTTTGTTTATTTTTTAGCAATGTTGGTTTTAATCAAGTTTAAACCTCAACAGTGCCCACAGCTAAAGATACTAAAGATAGACAAGATGGAGCAGGTGACAGGTGTGCCGCTTTTTTTTTTTTTTTTTTTTTTTTTGAGCCGACTGAACGCATGACTCATCACACGTGAAAGCCTCATCACATGATTTGAAAAAGACTGTACTTTCGTTTTAGGGAACCTCTTGCCCAATCTTGTCAATATGGTTCCTCTTTCTGTTTTTTGCCATGTTGAAATGATTACAATACTTCTTTGTAAATACTAGGGCTGTAGACGACTTGGTTGACTAAAACTGAGAAATGCCAAAAACTCATATCTATTGATCTCTATGTAGCTGTATCTGTATACTCACAAGACTACACTTGCATGAGAGTTTATACAAAAACAACCATTCATGCAGAGAAAAAGTACTAGGAAACAATGCATTTCTATAAAAACAGCTTAAGATTGTAAAAAGGAAGATTAAACTCATGATTCAAATAAATACCAAAAAAATTAAAAACACCATAAATCTTCACCAACTTTTGTCCCATATAAATCCTTATAATCTAAATAAAAAATAGCCTTAGTAAGTACAGGCAGGTTTTCTCACCTACATTTACATATATGTGGATATAATACTACTATAGTTTCTTATGAACAGACTTGATATGTTCTTAACAATCAGGTTAGGATGATACTGGAAAATCGCTAAATGCTTGATTTTTCCCTTTAATTTTAAATGCATATTTATGCGGCCTGGTGCCGTTATTGACAAACTGTCTGGAACCAATTATTTTTATTACTTCCAGCAATCAATAGTACAGTGCATTTGTGAAATGAATACACTTTGACTCCACTCTAATTTGCTGCCACTGTCGTATAAATAAAAATTATTATTTCATGATGAAAATTACAGCACATTATAATAGTTTTTTTTTTTTTTTTTTAATAAATTCTATCCTATAAAAATAGATGTTTTGTGTTATCATTGAAGAATCAAACGCAGCATCAAGACTTTACCTTATAGTATCACAACAACACTACTTTTTAATGATTGTTTTATTGTTTCATTAAAATAGTAAGACAGAAAATGTTTTTTTAACTGCTAATAACTTTAATACCTTTACACTAATGATAAATATTATAGAGAATATTATATGCCAAAAAATCCCTTCATTTGGGTGATTTAGAACTCAATTTTCTTACGATGCTTCACATTAAAATATATTATGAGCCAAGAGTAATTACAAAACCCATTAAACACTGTCATTAAAACGAGACAGATATTTGGTGAACTTTTGAGCACATCTACTGAAAGCAGGTTTTTACTCAGTGACGTTCGGCTGTGTCTGGTGCAGTGCAGTGAATTCACGCAGGGGCCCCGAGTCCTGACGGTAATTGCTTATAATTGAGAGTCTAAATTTAGCAGAGATAACCCCAGGTGAATTCTCCGGAGAGTCAGCACAGCGGGATAAGGAGCCCAAAGAATGAAGTAAACTCATGTACGTATGCAGCGGAGAGGAAGATGGAGGGAAGGCTAAGGGACATCATTTACAGTCACACTCAAATGTATAATAGTAATTCAACCTGACAGGCAAGAGTATTTTTGAGTTATTGAAGAAAACTGAAAAAGGCAGATATGTTTTATTCATGCACAGTTGGAGATTAGACTAGACTAGAAATATCTAATTTTGGGAGGCTAGGTAAAGAGCGTGTAAAAGAAAGTAGTTGGCTCAAAATTATGACTGTGTAGTTAATTGAATTTTAATAGAGATAGAGAGATTCTGTCATTTCTAATGGTCAATGATATATTTAGCTCTTTTTAATTGAGAGGTTTACAGTCAATCCTTTGTCAGTAAAAGTAGTATAGTTTTGGGTTCAGTTCAGACTTTGGAGAAATCCTTTGTTGTGGGTTAAAAGACACAAATCAAAAGTCTGTACTGTTAATGTTCAAGAAATTATTATTTAAAATGAGTGATCGGCTGTTGTGGGTTTTCTTGGCCAATGACGATAAATTCTGCTGATACTTTGGGAAAATTTTTTATTATTTTCCACAAATTATGTTGTTTAAATTTACTACAAATGTTCCCCAAGCTTTGTTTTACTACAAACCTCTAAGAGAGTGATGTAGACATATTTTGTGCAATCTCCTTGCAATAAGGCTGTGCGTGTACTCCTTAGACAGCAGGTCGGCTAAAACAAAACATCGGCAAATACAAAATATCCACCTGCTATATTGGCCAGCCATATCGATCTATCTCTAATTCAAAACCGTATTTATTTGTTTTGAATAAGACCAAATCAAATTTAATGTCATGACTGAATATGAGGATAAAAAACATGATTTTTTTGGTAATACATCACCCAGTGCCAAGCATTAGTAATTATTCCCACACACCTCTAGCCAGGCTGGCGCCACCTAGTGCCTCCGCTCAATTTCATTTCTCTCCAGCGACTAGGTCAGGAATCGGAATTCACTAGACGGTTCGCAAAAACCCCGGATGTGCGAATTCGGGCACCAACCAATCAGTAAAGAACATTCTGTGTTGGCAACGATTCCCGAGATCGAGGATTTAAAGCCAGAACAATTTTATCAAGGGGAAAGACATTATTGCCCTTCTTCCTATGGGATTTGGGAAAAGCTTTATATACCAGTTAGCCCAGTTAGCGGCGCATTAAATACGTCACGACCAAATAGCAGAGATTGGCTAAATGAAAAAAAGTACCTGAATATCATCGAGCAAACAAATTCTAATGCTGCACATCTCTATCCAATCATCAAATCATACAAATAGTTCAATAACAAAACTAGCTATATCCAATTGATCTTCACCATGGAATATCTTAAATACAAAGATCTCTTGAAGTAAATTCCCATGAGCATTCCTTTTCTTCTGCCATCAATACATTTTAGTTTCACAATTCAACTTTTCATTATATATTGGGCATGGGTCATTTACTTTGGGTCAATATGAAATAGAACTGCATTCTACAGCCATCCCAGGGGTGTCAGACTGTGACTCCATAGTGATTATATCAATCAGCAGTGGCAGTACAGTCATAGCACAGACACATACGCAGACACGCAGCTCACAGCTCGGGGATATTTGGGCTATTGATAAACGATTGTGTTTCTAAGCACAGAGCCAATGATAAAATGGCAACAAATCAGTGGGGACTATGGTATAACTCTGGACAATCATT